AAGTTGATTCGATCAAAGATTATATTGATTATTTCAACAAAGTTTGGTTGCCGCACTACAATTTAATATCTCAATATAATAATGCAACTGCAATATTCACTAATGATTGCCTCGAGAGTATGCATTCAGAATTTTCTTCGTTAAAACATCCAAACATTTATGAAGCTATTAAGAAGATATCTCAAATCCAATTAGATAAATATAACGCCATCAAAAATAACCAGAAGATCGAGCGCCATATAAAAACCGTTATCACTGATAGCTACAAAAATTATATTCTTGACTGCTTTCAAAAAGAACTTGAGAAAACAATTTTTTCTATCAAACAATACAACGTAAGTGATCTTTCTTTGGTTCAGAACGAGATTTCTCCATATGGTTCCATAGAATCGAGTTCATTGTTCGAAAATATTCCAGTTCATGATGCAGATATACTCAAATCGATCGATCTAACAGATAAAGATACAATGATCACTAAGTTTATTAATGAAAAAAGAGAAAAATTATGGCATTATTTAATGAAACATTAATCATCCAGATTTTAATTCATCCACTCCAATTCAAACTTAATTTTGAGCAAGCCGATACAAATCAAGGTTCAGATGCTCCAATTCGCTCCGAAAATTCAAATATTGCAGACTCTACAGATTTAGAACCAGAAAATCAAAACCATCCTTCTACAAATCAAATGTCTAGTAATCTAGAACATAAGCTGGACCTTCTTGATCATATTGAAAAACAATTATCGAAAATGCGCTCGTTATTGGGAATTCTTCCTACTACAAATGCTATTGTTGGGCCGTCAAAACAAGTTTCAGTTAATAGCAAGCAAAATTCTGAAAAAAATAAGAAAAAATCTTCCATAACAACAAAATCAAACAATAAAAAACAAAATTCATCCGACAATCCTCCTAAACGTAAAGCTCCTATTTCGGAAAGGATTCTCAGCGATAATAACTTATATTTTCAAGTTCATCGAAAGAGATCGAAAAGCAAACGTTCCACATCTACAGAGAAAAAGAATTGATATATGAAGTCTAATTCCTTTTATAACTACTATATTTTTATTCTTATGACTAAAAAATAATATATTATTTAACAATTTTCATTTTTTTCTTTGAACAATTTCGTTTTATTTCCATTTATTGTTAAATGATTTTTAGCATACACCTTTCTTTGTTCATCTTCTAAATACAATTTATTTTTTCTTAGATATAAAGTTGCCTCAAAATCTCGATTGAAAGACATTGAATTTAGTTTTGAGAAGACTGTTTTTCATTTTGAGAATTATTAATTAGCATATAATTATAATCATATTGTATGAAGTTATCAATTCTCTTAAATTTTGAAAGCTTGAGAAATTTAAAAGCACAAACAAATATATATTATTAAAATCATGGTATTGATCAATTTGAAAATTTTGAAATTTTGAATACGAATTTTAATGTAAACTTTAATAGTTGTAACAGAATAGGAAACATCACAGATGGCAACTTACATTAATGAAAAGTTGGAATTTTTTCAATAAAATTTTATTCATGAAAAAAGATGCATGAAATACAATAATAGTAAATATAGATACGTTATACAACATGTTAAATAAGTGATCACTATAAGCATAATAGCGTTAAACAAAATAATCATATCAAAATTTGTATCTGTAAGCAGCAAGAGTGTTATATCCTAATATTAGGTGTAACTACTTATTAGACAATGAATACAATATAATGCATTGATTAATAGGCTAAAGAAAAAAAAATATATTCTTCAATTTGGACAATCCGAAATTTTTCTTAATTAATTGAATTACATATACATTAATTTACAATTAAGTGATATCAGCGAGAAACTTATATGCACGTTTAACTTTATCAGATTTCAAATGAAAACATGGATTTCATTGCATGTTTTTCAATACTAGCTCCAGAAAAATGATACAAAGATGAATAAATAGTAATGTCCCTAAAAGAAGGTACAAAACAAAAAATTATCAACAATATACTTAATTTCGGCTATTATGATAAAAAGTGAATATGTCAAAAACATTTATTCCATCATCTTGTTATCTGTACCTCACCACGGACTAATATGAAGAGAGATCAATTTCCAAAATTTTACCAAAAAGAGATTAGGCCTAATTTTTATGGCCAATCTTTATGATTTGTTATACAGATACTAGATCTACTACTCCCCAAAACAATTCATTTTTTGAATGGCCCCCTTTTTTAGGCCTTCATTTTATGAAAAATGCCAATATTATACGATTATTAATATATTTATTTTTTTGTTCTCAATAAAGATATTCAAAAGTCAATATAAACCATTCAAAATTGAGAGGAAACTCATTGAGAGGCTCGGAATTCGAGTAGTGATGAAGGGTAAATTTTGAGAGCCAAAATTTCAAATCCCCTCAATATTTCAAAGCCCTTCTACTTAGATTTTGTGACTACCTTAATTCTATTCATTCATTTCGATCGTCATTTTTCAGTACATGATCGTAATTTTCAATTATTGATCGCGATTTTACTTCAGAATTTGTTTGCAATATTGCTTATCAAAATTATATCTCTATTCTCTTGTAATAAACAGAAATTCATCAAAAGTGACAGCTCTCAATTTTTTGACATTTGTAAATTCTAAATTGAATGAGAAAAATGAAATAATACTAAGCATAATACAATATTCTAGATTTAATTATAATTAGGAAAAAGTTAGTTTTGAGAGTACTTTTCATAGGCATATAGAATGAAATCTTCTGAAAAATAATATCACATAAACTCATATTATTTTCTAATATATAACTATTTTATATAAAAATCAAATTCAATGATCTTAAAAGCGAAGGATAAACCTCAAAATTTACGAATATAATGAGTGGGAATATAATGCTTATCTATCATAAAACCATATGAAATATCAATTTTTGCTTTACGCCTAATTTTGACGACAATTAGCAAAAAATGTTAAATGTTAACACTCAGTCCATTTGAATATGAAAAATAAAATTGACTTTGATTAAATGTTTTTATTTATCATGCAATTCTTCTTGCGACCAAAGATTTGAATAAAAGTTCAAAAAATAAGATAGCTTAAAAATAATATACGGTAGTGTTTACTAATAGATGAATAGTATATAAATTCTATTAAAATGGATTTGATCCAAAAAAATATATAAAATTTGATCATAAATAAAATCGTTTTAAATTACTTCTTCATTTAAATTATAACAATTATTTTTGGTTTTATATTTTTTTGGATCAAATCCATTTTAATAGAATTTATATACTATTCATCTATTAGTAAACACTACCGTATATTATTTTTTAAGCTATCTTATTTTTTGAACTTTTATTCAAATCTTTGGTCGCAAGAAGAATTGCATGATAAATAAAAACATTTAATCAAAGTCAATTTTATTTTTCATATTCAAATGGACTGAGTGTTAACATTTAACATTTTTTGCTAATTGTCGTCAAAAATTAGGCGTAAAGCAAAAATTGATATTTCATATGGTTTTATGATAGATAAGCATTATATTCCCACTCATTATATTCGTAAATTTTGAGGTTTATCCTTCGCTTTTAAGATCATTGAATTTGATTTTTATATAAAATAGTTATATATTAGAAAATAATATGAGTTTATGTGATATTATTTTTCAGAAGATTGTGTGTTCTTCTTCAAAATTTTATTTTTTTTATTAAAAAGAATCTTTACAAAATATACATTTACTTTAATTAATATTTAAAAACGTGCTCTATCAAAAGTTCCAAAAATTCAATATTTTAGCTTTTCTGAGGTGTCACTTTTGATGAATTTCTGTTTACAACACTCTCATTTCTGTTTAGTCAATATCATTACACTCCTATTGTCTAATAACATGCTATTAATTTTCTTAAAATTAAAAAAAAATATCAACTTTTAAAAACAGAAACTTAACATCCTTAGGTCAATGGATTTTGATGTGAGATACATTTAATCTGTTTTTCTTTTTTTATTTTAAATAATTGAATATTTATAGTTGTTATGGGTCTTACATCATGTAAAACGAATTTTCTTAAAGTAAATTTACTTTTTCTTCAATCTTTCTTACATATTTATTAAAAAAAAAATTATCCAAAAAAAGATGTTTTAGAATGAAAAAAAATAGAAAAATCTTCATTTATAGTCTTTCTTGAATGTATACGTTTTGATTTTTTTCTTTTTTAAAAAATTCAATTTCTAGAAAAATCGAGAAAAAATCATTTTCTTCTATTTTTTAGGACGCCATACCCATTGAAATCTCCTCTCAGGACGCCATAAACTATTCAATTATGGTGTAAACTTCTTAAAAATTGAATAGTTTACATCAGGACGCCTTAGGACGCCAACCCTTTACGCGCCCTATTATTTCATTTGATATCATATGTAATTGAGCAAGATCTCTCAACAGAAACGCTTTCTGATATAAAAGAAAGCTTTTCGAATTATTAACTCATGCAATTCGATGTTTTCGATTTCATCTACAAAAATAATCATTCATGATTATGGAGAACACGGAATTTTCAATTAATTTATTAACTGTTCATTGAAAAACCGAAAGATTTATTAACCAACATTTTTTTTCTGTAATAATTTGATCAACAGTATATCATTCCCTTTCAATTTTTCAAAACTTTTGAAGCCTTTTATTTAACTGAATTGTTTGTTTCAATGCGGACCTACTATACCAAAATGATCAATACATTGTGCTCTTCTAAATTATTGCCAGTACTTATCTAACACCGACTCAATAATCTCTCAAATGTTTAAGAGATACCGTTTTAGTTTACAAAAAAAATACGTTATTTACACCCTGAGTCTTCTTCTAGAGATCTTTTTTTTAGATTTTGAAACGATGAAAAGATAGAGTATTATCAATGCATGTTATATTTAAGTTTATTCATAAAAATATCAAATCTATCATAGAGAAAAAGAACATTTAAATTTATTGAAAATAGAAATTTAACTTTTTACTTTTTTTATAAGTCATCTAAAGGAGGACTTTTAGAAAGTCTCTCCCATTCGATACTAACATGTTTTTTAGACAATTCGAAAGCAGCTAATCTCAGCTTCTCTCGAATAATTCCTTTTCCTTTATCTCCGAGTGCTAATAAACAAAATCTTCCTGCAGAAATGCAAGAAATCGAAGCCAAACAAGGCAACAAAGACTGCGAATCGCCAATGAAAGCCAAGGACAAAATAATATCTCTCAAAGGCGTCGACATGTCAATTAAATCATAACAAATTTTTGTAAATTCTTCGTCATCGTACAAAAACTTTCCGAACAAAATTGTTTCGTTCATAGCGTTATTTGATTCGAAACAAATCAAACAACTATCTTTGTCACCTGATAAAGCAAATAATCGTCCGGCCAATTTCCAAAAACCACTTTTTGTAGAGATTATTTTTGCTGCTTCCAAATTTGGCGACAAACAACAATGTGCGAATAAAGCGTCTTTTTCCGAATTCCTTTTTAACAGTTCATTTGCTGCTTCATCATTTCTTTTTGTCAAAATCAAGTAGTCAACGAATTCATCGTTCAATATTTTCGATGTTCTCGTGAGACATACACTACTTGCGTATTTTTCTCTATATAATTCACATGGTAAACTTAATGGTGAACACAAAGGAATGTCACTTTTTCTTAAAACGGTTTTTGCAAAATTAATAAAATTCAAATCACCAATTTTTTCGCTTATTTCTGACATTTCGTCCGGATTTTGACAGTTTACAAATCTGTCACGTAAACTATTATATTCAAAATTGGGGACAGAAATAAAAGTTTCGAAAGTTGGTAATTTGACAAATCTCAAACTTGTCAATGAAGTTTGTATCATTGCGAAATCCGACAAGAAATAATCAGCTTCCAAAACATTAAATCTTGCGAAACTGATGACATTCAAAGTATTCATGTCAACTAAACTCGCTGTGTTGTTTACATCAATGACAATACACGTGTTTCCATTCAATTTAACTCTTTTCAAATTGTTTTCATTGAATAAAACCGTTTTACTTGTCAAATTTTGAGTGTTAATGACGTAAAACATTCCTCTGTTCGTGACAGCGACAATTTTATCTCCGGAATACGATGATGAAGTGATGTCACCGAAACAATCAGAAAAAGTGACTTTTTTCTGTTGTTTTTTAGTGATGTCGATTAAATAAACCGATTGGTAATTGAGATAAACCGCTATTTGTGTATCGTCTTTGTCATTGACAACGAAAAGTTTTATGTTGTCTGAGAAAACGAGGTTTTCCTTCTTCTTTCCTTGGAAAAAATCAATGACATTTGGAAGATTTTGTACAAAAATGTAATTTTCGGACGATAGAATGGCAAACGGTTTTTCATAAAATTGGTCTTTGTAGACTAGGTTCTTTTCGATGTCTATATACGAAAGGAACTGTCCGCCGATGATGATTTTGCGGTTTTTCCGTTGATATCCAACAAAATTTATCTTTTTGTCAGAAATTTGGAAATTTTTGACAGAATTTGACTGGCAAAAAACGACAAAACCGTTATTTGTACAATATATATATCCATCGTCAGTTAGACACCATGCCACGATGGTTTCATTGTTGATAGAAGGTAGGGAAGACTCAACTTTTAACATTTTAAAATCGTCTTTTATTACACAGATCTTTCCATTTGGAGAATACGACAAAACAAGGTTAGGATTGTATCTATTCACGTCTATACAGAAGAGTCTGTGTCCTGGAAGCTGTATCTGTCTGTTTTGGACGAATAAATCGTTTTGACGCTCGAATCTGATGATTGATCCTGAAACTGTTGCTCCCCAGAAGTATTTCGGCGATTGGGGACTGAAAATGTTATTAATTGTACATATTTCTTCGAGATTGTTTGAGAAAATGTTGATTAATTCTTTTGTATCGATATCATACAAAATAACTTGATGAGAATTGCCTAGAATGAGTCTATTCTTTGCGTGAGGAAAGAATTCGATCGTATTTATTGGCGTAAATGGGAATGTGCCGCATTGATCGACACCTTTTGGTTTAGAATCAGCTTCATTTAGCGAAAATAGCATGTATTGAGAGGAATGAGATGCTAATATTAAATTATGATCGTTGAATGGATCTTGTACAATGAAATTATAGTGATTTTTCAGTGGAGAAGACCAATTTACGAGTAAATTAAAAGATTTGAATGAAAAGTTTTGAATTTGGCACTCTTCAACAAAAGAAGATCTTCTCCTTGTTGGAGATCCATTCGTAAAGCATATAATCGCTGGATTGTCTGTTAAGATAAAAAATGTCGAAGAGTCTGAATAACTCCAGCATATATCTAGGATAGGTACACCATTAATAACAGAATCAGGGGATATGCCGGAGTGTCTTTGTCCTGTAAAGATGTCGTAGATAATGCAGTTTCCTGTTTCATCTGCAACTGCCAAGAAATATTTGAATGCATCTGATTTTGATACTTCAACTGTTGGATAATTCCACGCAATTTTAGTTATATTTGATTTATGCCTTGAAATCGTGCGATATAAAACAATTTCTTTATTTTGGAGTTGATATATCGTAACAATGTGTTCATTTGCAATTGCAAAGAATCCATCGGGTCCCCAACGAATCAATCCCTCAGTGCTCATTGGCTTCGTGGATAAGGCCGAAGCAACATGAGGGAAATTCATTGAAAATCTTTGAACTTCCTTTCATTTCACCTTTTTACAAATTTTTTTTTCTCCAAAAAATTTTAATGTAAATTATTCATTTGTTTCATATACACAAGAAATAGTTTTAGCACTCTCAATTATTCTTAAAATTGGCAGAAATTAATTAAAACTAAAGCTCAATTTGGATTATTAATCAGCTTTATGGCTAAGAGTTACTTAATCACATGCAACTCTTGGATGACCAATTACATGAACTGGTGAAAAATGCTTTCATCAAAGAGAAAATTTGTAAATCTTTGATTTCTAAGATATATCACCAACAAAAAAATACAATATGGTAATGAGCTTTTGTAAATTTATCAGGAGTTTCCTATAATGATGATGCATGTCAGAAAATACGAGACATCTAAAAGATCCTTCGAATCTTGGAAATAAAAGTGACGTTTTTAATTTTGACAAAAAATTTTAAAAATTAATAAACATTTAAAGTGGAATACTATGCTAAAATGATATTCCACTTTTTTGAAGTTTGGAATTTTGGGGGCTATCGAAGAATAAAATTTATTCATTAATGAGTTTGAACACGATTGTATTTTTTCATCATTTTACGCATGTATGTTTGAATAGATTTATCACAAACATCGAAGGCTGTCTTTCCTTGATGGTTCTTGATACTTGCATCGGCTCCGTTTCTGATTAGATATCTTATTAGTGATTTTAATCCATTTTCGGCTGCGACAATAAGTGGAGAATTACCATTTTCATCTAAATAATTTATATTGGCACCATAAGACAATATACAATCATGATTTTCTGTGAGAGAATATGTAATTTCTCCAAATAAAATAGGGCGAATGCATTGATCAAAATCTATTTTTTCATGAAATATTTCAAATAATTGTGGAAGGCATGATTCTTCAGTATTATTCATGGCATAAAGAACTGAATTTAATCTTATTTTAGCACCTAATTCCATAAGGCGGGCTACAAATTCCCAATTGCATGATCTAATTACATTATTTAATAGTTCTTTATTTTCCTCTTCTTGATAAACTGCTCCTGAAGCAAGAAGAACATTAAATATCTCAATACTATTGAAAATAGATGCATAATAAAGTGGTGTTTTTTCATATTTTGATTTTTTGTTAACATCAATGTTGTATTTAGAAATAGGATAACATAAATTTTAAATTCCAAACATATATACTATGTACAATCAAAATCATGATTGAAAAATTGAGTGCTTTACAAATAATCAAACGTGACTTATCGGTTTCAGTATTGTTAAGAAATCATTTTTATCCAATGTCTCCTTTAAAGAGTGTACGTGCTAACAGAAAGTTTTCCCAGGAAGAGGACAATAAGCTCCGCTCTGTTGTATCAAAGCTTGGTACCCACAGCTGGAAGTCAGTCGCCTCTTTCATGCCTGGTCGCAATGTCCGCCAGTGTAGAGAAAGATGGAACAAGTTCCTTTCACCAAATGTCAACCTTAACCCATTCACACATGAAGAGGACATCAAATTGATTGACTTGTACAATGAGCTTGGACCACAATGGGTCAGAATTGGCAAATGCCTTGGTAACAGATCAGATATAGCAATCAAAGCTAGATTCATGCTCCTCGAGCGCCACAGAAAGAAACGTGAGATGAGCGATGAATACACATCTTCCTCATCTGAAGATGATGTTAGAGAGCAAAGAGCACCAGAGGATTCAATCCATAAGGCTTTAGCTCCAAACAGATATACTAATGCGGATATTACCCCTAGAGAGTTGAATAACGAGATTGACAGCTTATTCAACAACGAATTTAATGACTTCTTTGATATTACTGATGTTTTCGGTAACTTTCAGTTCTAATTTATATTATTATACTAAATACTATCCTTCTATCCCTTAATTAATGTTGTTTTTCCATTATTTTTTAATTTAAAATCCGTTTAGACTTGTCATTTACCCTGACAGTTTAGATGATTTGAAACATTTGCTAAAAAGAAACTATTTCCCTGCATTTATTTTCCTGATTTTTTCCAAATTTTTTAGATTTTTGCAATTTTAACTATTTTTCCCTAGATTTTATCAGAGTTATTTTTCAAAATGAAAAAAATTTGGAATTTTATTGATTGATCAAGCATATTATTACATTATATTATTTCTATTTCAATAATCAAATCTTTGAAATCTTCTTGTTTTCCCCTAAATAATTATTCGAAAATCATCAAAAGCAGGAAAATGGATTCTAAATGTAAAGACATACTGTATTTTCGCAATAATAACTTGATCAAAAAACAATGAAAAAGTGACAAAACGATTATGAACCGTCATTTTCCTTTGAAAATAATTTATAAATCATGCTCTGTTCAATTCAACGCAGCATTACAAAGAAAGTTCCAAAAATTTTGGCATCTAGTCTTCGCCAGATTTCCGAGTGTGACCAGCCAACTGATATTATCACACATCCACCAACAGTTGCCACACAATTCCCTTTCCATCTTGAAGCTTTCCTTTTCGATACTCCACCAGATCCAGCTGCCGCACACCTTTGTCATGAGAGCTTCCAGACAGCTTTGGCCCAAATTTCAGGCGCCAAAGTTTGGAACGTGATTGATGTTCTTAAGAAACTCTCTCATAAAGAGCTTCGTGCAATTTTGATGGAAACATGCGATATTGCATTCAATGTCGACACAGACATCAAAATTGATCCAATTGCAAAAGAAATTTCACCAGAATATATCGATTATTCTCTTTCTCAACTTTCAAAGCACGATTTACTTGATTTAATTCTCTTAAATCCATCAATTCGCATCAAAGTTGACAAATCTTCGACTGGATTTTCTTATAAGACAATCCCAGTTTCTCCTCTTTCGAATATGCTTTTCACACGTGATCAGCAGATCGCTACAGCCAACGGTGTTGTCATGGGCCGCTTCAACGCTCCTCAAAGAACAACAGAAATCGCTCTTATGAACCAAGTTATGCCACTTCTTGGTGTACAGCCAATCGGAGCCATTGGAGACCCAGGACATCTCGAAGGTGGTGACTTCTTCCCATTAGGATACGATATGTCTATGCTTGGCGTTGGATTAAGAACAACAGCCGAAGCCGCAAGACAATTGATGAGAAATGACCTCGTTGGAACACAGAAATTCGTTGTTGTCGAAGATACACACGATAGAAACCCAACAAGAGCTCATCTTGATACTGTTTTCAATGTTATCGACGAAAAGACATGCATTTGCCTCGATGCAATTGCCGACGATGCTCCTGATTTCATGAGAACAGCTAGAGTTTACGTAAAACACGATTCTCATTACGTTGAAGAGGAGAAAATGCCATTTGGTAAATTCTTGGTCAAAGAAGGCTTCAAAGTTGTCAAATGCTCCATGAAACAACAGGCAGAGTACGTTCCTAACTTCATTAACCTCGGAAAAGATTCTCATGGAAAAGCCAGGATTTTGATCAACAATACAGAATTACAGACCCTCTTGAAGGCTAACGATGTCAACATTAACTGCTACGATATTGATTTCGCTGCAATTTCTTCAATGTCTGGTGGTCCAAGATCTTCAACTTTCGTTTTAAGAGCAGAGTCAAAATAAGAAGTTAGAGTACTTCTATTTAGTTTTACTAGATAAATCTACAGCTAACAAACTAATAATAAAGAAAATTATATTTTATCATTTAATTTTTTTTTAAGTAACAAAGCAACAATTACTTGTGATTCTGGTGTTTAGTATTTTCTCTAAATTCAAATCTTATTCCAAATAATTTTTTTAATTTTGATCTTTTGAGTATGAGATTAGTTATGATCAGCTTATATTGTTTGAGATAAAGAGTATTTTGTAATGAAAACAGTTATCCGCAATAATATATTTGATCTTTAAAGATCTTCAAAAATCGCTAATGAATTATAGTATCCCTAGTGATATAGATGAATATTTTAGAGCAATCTGCTCTGTATAAAGAGTTTTCGATTTATCGATTTTCCATTTTATCTTATTTTCTATTTATTCATCAATGATCAGTTAGAGCAGATTACCTTTAGGACAAAAATCACTAGATTTAGTTTGACTCGAATTTCCATCGGACAATCAAAAAAATGCAACATAACATATGGTTATTGTGCATAATTCTATTATGATACAAAGCACTGAAGCTAAAAATGAGAGGCAATTTAACATAATATACAGGATAGAAAACAATTTTTATTAATCAGAACAGTTAGAAGCAGATTCTGGGACAGCCATAAGTACTTCACCAGACATGAGCTCCTTGTTATTTTTATCTTCAGCCAAATCTCCATTTGGCTCTGAATAAGAACTTCCGATCGAGATTGCATCGGATTCATTATATTCTTCCTCAAATGATTGGTCGACGTAAGAAAATCCAGCAAGTTTTTCAGCGGATCCGAAAACAGGCATAACATATGAATCTGCAGCCTGTTCGCTTGTGAATTCGGGATCAAAGTTATTGGCTTCGTTGGAGTTATCGGAAGCCGGAACAAACTTAGGTTGAATTTTCTTCTGAAGGACGTCATCCCAGTTCAAATTTTGGAAGAACTTCATTTGTTTGATCTGTTCAAACGTTGGGCGTTTGAGAGGATCCTTTGTAAGCATTGCTTTAATGAAATCAATGGCTTCTTGGTTGAAATTAGGCGGAAATTGAGGTTCATTGTCAAGAATGTTTCTGAACATCTTTGCACGGTTTTGGTGTGCAAAAGGTGTTGTTCCGAACAAGAGTTCGTAAGTTAAAACACCGAGTGCCCACCAATCAACAGAATAAGTATATGGTTGGTGGTTGACGACTTCTGGGGCTAAATACTCTGTTGTTCCACAAAATGTTGACGTATGGACCTCATGGGCAAGATTCTTTGAGAGACCAAAATCTGTAAGTTTAATGTGACCATTCGCGTCTAAGAGAATGTTTTCGGGCTTGAGGTCTCTGTAGATAACTCCAAGACTATGTAGGTGATTTAATGCCAAAAGAATTTCAGCAATGTAAATTTTGCAATCATCAAGTCGAATGTTACCATATCTTTGCATATGGAAGAATAGCTCACCACCTGGGACATATTCAAGTCCCAAGTAGAACTTTGATGGACTCTGAAAAGCAAATTTCAAATTAACAATAAAAGGATGTTGAGCTTTTGCAAGGATATTCCTTTCTGATATAACTGTGGTAACTTTATTTTGTTGTATAAGACGAGATTTATGGATCGACTTAATTGCAACAATCTCTTTTGTTGCAATATGTTCACATAACGTAACTTTTCCGTAAAATCCACGTCCAATAACTTTAAGAACTCGAAAATCAGACATTTTTAATTGTGGGTTGTTAAGAGTGCATCCACGCAATGCTAGCACCCATCGCATTAACATTTCTGTATTTGGTGTCTCAAACACATTCTCCTTTCCCATGTTGTCGATTATTCTAAAACGAGGATCATGCACTTCGTCTATGATTTCAATTGTTGTTGTTGGAAGGATTTCGATGTGAAAATCAAAACTTGTTAGATCTTCACTTTTATATATGCAAAAATCAGTACCTGTGAGGACACAATAACGTTTGGCCCAAAATGCGAGAAACCTGTGACGTTTTAACCATCCACTAGTCACTAATTTAGTTTCAGACATTATGAATCAATCGTAAAATTTTGTACCGCTTTTTCTTCACAATCAATGTTTTAGGCTAAAAATAATAGAGCATTGTACATAGAATTGATTTATAGTTTAAATAATTAAGTCCTTCTATCCGCCATTATTTTGAATGCACTTTCAAATAAAAAATACATTTAAAAGGAACAATAAGTAATTGATAATAATATTTTCATGATGTTATCATCAATTGAAAATTCATTTTGAATATTTTGTGAAAATTCTCAAAAGCAGTTACTTTTCAGAGCGGGGAAATTTTGATCTTATTTTCGTTTTTTGTTTTTGATATATACTACAATAATGAGCAAATTTTTAAAGTCTGAGATTGTTCGGTCAATTGAAACATAAAATTCTTTTATTTTATTTTTGGTATTAGTATATCATTGAGTAATTTTTAAAAATCATTTTATAATTGAGAGGATTATTTTTATTCTCAATTTAAATCGTTATAAATTTATCTAATTCTTTTATAGTATCATTTCTTATTATACCATTTTTTTATTTTTGTGTTATTTTAATCGGGTTATCTTGAATGGATTTCTTTCATAAATCGATGTCTAAATATCAACCACAGTAGCAGATAGAATAATGCAATAATATATGATGATAAATTAACTTCTTTTTTTTTCTGATCTTATGATCTTCATCAAACAAACACAATAACTATTCAGCATTTCTAATTCCTAAAAATTGATCTTAGCAGATCATCATCGTTTTATCGATCGTATTCAAAAAATTTTCCAATTGGAGTAATTTTTACGAACTAATAATATGCAACTTTCTCCATATTATATTATTCATTTAGTAATTTTATGACTATCGATCATATTAACTTCCTTGAAATAATATGGAATTTCATATCGTATTCAAAAAACATCATATTTAATCAACCATTTCTTTAAAATAAGTATTACTTCAAGAATAGTTATAAGGTGACATTTTTCTGAATGATCAAAATCTGATGATGCCATGAATTTGTTCATATCATGCCAATTTTATAGGCTTTTTCAACATTTAATATAACGAATGTAATATTAGATGATTATAAACATATGAATAGCTTTGACTGAACTCTTACACAATGCTGCCGCTGATTCAATCGTCAATGATTCCTCCGATAAATTTCGATCAACGATAGAGAAATCGACCAAACATACTTTAATGACATGTTTAAAGCATAGCACATATATTCCATTACACTTTTTTAATAGGCGAATCATTGGAATGAAAAGAAACCTTGATATATGAGAATAATTCTCATAAAGAATTTTTCTTGTGCTTTTCATAGATAAAATAGCCCAGAATAGAAGCAAATTTGCCCGACACAAGTTTGACCATAGTAATTTAAACCATACTATAAATTTTTTCAGATATCTTCTAAATTCCTGAATCAAATCTATAGTTCATCACAAGGTATTATATGCTGGCAAATTGAATTCTATTATGTCCTGAAGTTCTCTATACTAATCGAGATAAAAATAGAGAGAAAAGGTGCATTTTCATATTTATGATTATAAAACAAAATACACCTTTTCCAAACGTGCGTGGGAAGTCTGATGTTGTTGTTCGATCAAAAGCGTTATATCCAATCAAAACAATTCAACTTTTATTGATTAGCCCACTCTCTGATAAAATTATTGTTTCAGGAGTCTTTGGTATACATTTTAGTTTTGTTAAGTTTACAAAACGATTACTCTAGATTTTAAAGATTTATCAAGAATTTAGAGAATATCCTTCTCAAAACAACTTCAATAGCGAAGGATTAGTATTGAATCGGATTTGTAACATAATTATAGTACATTACAATACAATTTCTCCGACTTTTAAATATTTTTGAAATATTTACAAAATATGCTCTTTCTATCATCGACACTTTAATACAGAGCAAATTTAGTAAATGTCATCACGTTATTTTTTCATAAATCGTTTTCGAACTTTTGAAATATTTATTTTAAACCAGTTTTCTACATTTAATATGTGAATTATATCAAAAGTAGATGGGCGATACTTGTAAATCTATTTAAACTATTAGTTTGCTATTATTGAAGAACTTTATAATTTTTTTTTCTTATGTATGGAATTAAAGATAATTTTGCCGATTCCAACTGGTTTTTCTATATGAGTTAAATATGCCAAGTGAAATTGGACTTGCCAATATTGTAAATTGAAGTATGGACTATATATCGATTTTCATTGATTGATGAATAACTCGGAGTAATGTAATTGTTGATAATGAAAAATAGTTTTCAACTGCTGGTAAGGGCCAATGTATGTTCAATAGCTCCGAAAGCAAAAAATGCACGTTTAGAAAAAGACGATAACGATTAAATTACAAAATCGATAACGACGACGATTAAATTACAAAATCAATAATGACCCATGGATTTATCTGTTTTATTCGCCTTTCATTCTTCAAGTGAATGGCAAGAAATATACGGAACAAGCCAACCAAGTACAATATATATCGAAAATAAATATTATAGCAGCTACACCGGAGATTTTTATGTGATGAATGTTGTTTTTCTCAATGTTGGATCAAACAGAGTTATAAATTTAGCATCGAGTGATACAAGGTCTCTTATTTCATCATCGACATTTATTAATTCAACAAGTTCTAGTCAAGGTGGGTCAATTTCCCTGAACGGAGGCCAAAGTGCGATTGTTAAAACATGCAGCAGAGGTTCCTTGGCTTCTAGTGACATGTTTGCAAGTATTTTTGTCACAGACTCAGAATCAAGCATAAATTTCAATTCTCAACTTTCAGTAACGTTAAACAATAGAGGACTAGTATAAGGCTATAATGGAATGAGATTCGGATACGGAACAATAACATATATTCAGAACAATATTAGTCATAATTATTGTGGCTACAATACTGCATTTGTACTCAAATTAACTTCAAAAATCACAGCAAATTATTCATATATTAGCGACAACATTGCTTTATCAAGAATATGTGATGGAATAGATGCAACTATTATATATTATAGTATTGTAGTTATCAATAGTCAATTACGAGAGCAAGATAGCTATCCAGGAATTTTTTATGGTGAAAATTGTCGAATAACCATCATAAATTGTTTGATCTGTAATAATTCAGTTGGATCATGCCCAATATTTGGCTCTGATTCTGAGACTTCATATTCAGTGACAAATTCTCAAATCATCACAAATTCAACATTGATACATTCTGGATCAGGAACATTCAATGAAGTTGATCCAGCAACACCAGATATCAAGCTTAATCTACTTACAACAGATCAATGTCCAACTGGTATATTTTTGTTTGGAAATGCTACAGATACCCCGAAGAAAATAGAAACACATGATTTTAATATTCGAAATGAAAATGATAAGTATTATTATGCTATTTTACCAGCAATATATTATTCATCCTAAGAAAATTTCGATTTTATCTGAACTCTATGAAGCTATTACAACTTTTTTATTGGTTGCTTACAGCTCATTTCATGGACTCTATGTTGACGATATACTTTGATTTTCTTTTGATAACTGTTTTCTATTATTCTAACTTTTTTTATTTCAATTCTTTCATGTATCCTGTTAGGACTATCACCAATGCCGATGCTAAATATGTAATGCAATATACATGACTAAACTATAAAAACTCAAGGGTTTTTCATTGCGAGAAGTGAAATTTTATTTGCAAATGATTTCATTTTTCATGATATACTCTTTGATATACATATATTTATTATATTTCATGTATGCATTAATTCATGCCATATGATATAAAGAATGAAAATCCTACTTTAATTAGATTTTTTCGATCGTAATTTACAAACAGTTAATAATCAATGCTTTTCAAATATCATATAGAATTTAAAGTTTAATACTAACCATAAATCACATTTTATCTCTAATCACATAAAAACATTATTGGTTGATTGATAGTGATGAACTGTCTTCTTTCACTTAGCATAATTTCATTGAGTTTTAAGATCAAAGTTCTATTTATTTGAAGATTCAACCGAGTGAAGAAACAAACAAGCAAACAAACAAGAAAAAAAATTGAATGAAATCAAAGTATAAATTCCAAAAAAGTGACGCAAAATTTATCCATTTGGAATTTTAATATTTTTTGCCAATCAAAACTCAATGATGTATTCATATAACCCTTCTCTAACACAGAGGATTACCCTGGAAGCAATGTACGAAAGCTTCATCAAAAGTTTTAAAGATGATCATGATGCTAAAGAGAAACTTGAAAAATTACAAGAATTTATTAATGCAATTTCGACACCAGGTACAAAAAAAAATAAAGCTACATATGACCAAAAAAGAAAAAGGGAATATCTCGGTGATTTCGATATTAACAACAGTAAATCTTATTCGTATATTAAACAACTCTTAGGAGAAAATCCTAAAATGCTCAATGTGAAACCAATAATACAATTGATGGACAAATATTATAAAGATCATTCAAAAGACGAAAATCCGCAATTCATCAAATGTCCAAATTCAAAAGCTAGAGAAGCCCAGAGAGATTTAAAGTCAGCATGCAAATATTTTGATGAAAATTTTGACCTTTTCGAATTTTATATGAAAGAAAATTATTTCATTGAAACAATTTACACAAAAGTTGACAATGATTGACCAATGAATGTACATCCAATTGTTGATTAATTCTTCTCATAACTAGTTCTTTTCATTGAACATATTTTTATCAAGACATATTATAAGGCAAAAATGATGTCATATACCTTTACATAAAGCCCATATGCTTATTTTCTAACATAACATTGTAATTTCGTTCTTTGGAACAAGATAATAACAAAATTGGCTAGTAAATATTTGTTTTATTTGTATAAATGTTTTCTGTTAACTTCGCGATCATATCAGAAGTTTTTATTTTTCTAATCTTTATAGAAATCACAAATGAGATACTTACAAATTTATAAAAAAATTAACCCCAAAAATTTCCCTGTTTATACGATCAAACTCTTTTCATCAATTGTCGAGTGTATTCTCGAAAAATGAAATTGGATGATTTGTTTACATCTATTTAATTTTTCAAGATGCACTCAAAATTGAAAGCTAATTTAAAATTGTTCATTGAAATTTTTAAATGAGAATTTTTTTGTTAAAATAACTCTTAAGATATTAATTTCTAAAACTTAACAACGTTATTCTCATTAGTGCGTTCATAAATGACAAATGACAAAGTCTCATCACACTTTTCAATGCTCGATTTTTAAAAACTGTTTAAAAATGGAGCTTATATTGAAATAGTGTAGAGACTAAAAATTACCATTGCCATTCTATCCTCATTAAATAATATGAAAGAATAGAAAAAGATCAGAATCAATAATACACCCTTCGAAAATTTTCGATTATAAGAGTATGAACAAATTTCTCTCAAAAAATCAAAATTGCTCAATGCTTAATATTATGCTTTCTAGTTTACATTCATCAAGCGAATGGATGGACATATATGGAACTAATGAACCATCACATATATATTCAACAAATCAATATTATAGCGGATATTCAGGGGACTTTTATGTTCGCAATGTTGTTTTTGAGAACCTTGGTTCAAGTTGTGCCATATATTTCAGCTCAAGCGACACTAGATCATTAGTCTCTTCATCAACATTTATCAACTTAACCAGTTCGCTCAAAGCAAGTTCTATTTACATTATTAATGGCCAAAGTGCTCTAATAAAAGTTTGCAGCATTGGATCAACAAGTACATCTGAAAATGGTGCCAGATTTGCACGAATTTTTGCTACAAACTCAGCTTCAAGCATTAATTTTAATTCACAATTGTCTGTCACTCTCAATAATCGAGGTTCTCTTGTTGGATAAAATAGTATGTTCATTTGTTACGGCACAATTACATATACACAAAATAATATTAGTCACAATACATGCAAATACAATTCTGGCTTTGCTTTTGATTATGGATCCTCATTGTTAATAAACTACTCATATGTCGCTGGAAACGTGGCATATTCTAGGATTATAATTGTAGAACGGGTTCCATAAACTTTTCAACAAATTGTTTTCGTCAATAATAATGTTCAAAGTTCAGAATCATATCGTGGCATGATACACATGAATGATAACAAACTATCCGTTAGCAATTGCGTATTTGCTAATAATACACAAGGTCCAGATTCATTATTCGGAACATATACATCTTCAAGTGTAATTACTGTTACAAATTCACAAATAATTACAAATTATACAACAATGCACTTAGGACAAGGAACGTTTTCAATACAGGATCCTACTATTCCAGATATTGTATTGCATCTTTTGGCAACAGACCTGTGTCCAACAGGAGAGTTTTTATTCGGAAACGCGACGATGAAGCCAACGAGTTATGAAACGACCGAAATGAATTTAAGAAATGAAAATGATAAATATTTATATATTATCCTTCCAGCTATGTTCGATTGAAATGTAAAAACTTTATTTGCGGTATTATGTATTTTTTTCCACATATATGCAACTTTGAGAGAAAATGTAATATATGAGTTTGAACTAAATCTTTCCCTATCAAAATTCGTCTTATAGGAAGTAAATGTTCGACTCTCAAATGGCAAGTGGGAGACTATCAAAGTTATATCATATAATATCAACGACCTGCTAGTAAGAGAAAAAGTGACAATAAATCTTTTATTGAAAAGTGACAATGAAAAAGAATCCTAAAAAGCCCTTGAAACAGAAATCATTTAGCTTATTAACAAGCCAGCTTACAAAAGTGGGCTACAATGTCTTTGACATTACAGATTTCAAAAATGCATTAAATCAAAAAGGAGATATTATTTTATTAAGGGCAATTTGGATTCAGTTTACTAAAAATATAGTCCGAAAGACAAATGTGAGCATAGCAAAAGGCATACATCAACTTAACAACAACGTTTTGGCACTTACAAAAGAAAACAAAAGACGTTATTTTGATAAATGGAAAAGTAAAACAAGTATTTTTGCCGAAGATGAAAATTCAGAGAATCTATTTATATTTGATGATACAGAAAGCTCGAGTTCAGATAATTTACCAGATTTACCAAAATTAAATCAAGAAAAACTTAATGAAGCAGCCAACAAACTACAAAACAGCGCAAAGCGCAAGTCTCCAGTTAAAACAAGATCATTAAAACATGATTCTTCTCCTAAAGCAGAAAAAATTCAACAAAATTTGCCTGTTGAACAAAAGAAACCTACAAAGAAACTCAAGAGAATTAAAAGAAAACCTGTTAGTCCACAAATTACCCTTCCAACATCAACAGAAATTTGGCAACAATATTGTAAACGGGTTTTACTCAACAATACAATTAACTTGTGCAAGAAATACCAAAGAAATCTTATAGCCTACGATGATTGGCTCTTTATGTGCCGATCCATGAAGAATCTACGCTATATTCAAGTTCAAAAACTTTTTGAAGCCAGAAGAAAATGGAATGCGCTTGTTAAATCTGCTCAACGCCACAATTTACGTAAAGTTTATTCTGAAGAATTAAAGATTAACAAAGTAACGGATATTTCAGATCATATCAGGCTTGATAAGTATTTCAATAAGTGGAAATCTCAAATACCTGAAGAGTATGAATATGAAAGCTCTGAAACACCAATTGCTGTTATTCCTCAAAAAGAAAATAAATCATCTCAAAATTCTCCAAGACCAATTGATCAGAAGAGGATAGGAAACACTCCATTGAGTGAAGTTGAGGATATTCACACTTCTTCCTTGGAAATCATTCAAAATGCAAAAATTGTTGAAGAAGAGGAAGACAAAGAGTATTATGAAGAAGAGGATGAAATATTTGTGGCCAAAAGAGATGTTGATTTAGATATGACAGAAGATCAACAAAACTTTAATTTTGATTTTACAAATTATGAGACAGAACTATCTATTATTTTATGGAATATTTCATCAGAAATGTATCCATCTCATTTTCCAGAAGTTGGAGAATATTTCTCTTTGAAACCAGAATTAAGAAGCGATTACGTCAAACCTGAAAAGGAACAACCGCAAATAATCGAAAAATCTCCAGAAAAAGAGTATAGTTATTCGAGTGATGACGAAAACGAAAAATTAGATTTCGAAATTCCGGAATCACCGAAGGAAGGTAAGCATTCTGACTCCGATTCTATTCATCTTGAATCATTAAGTGATCCATTCCCAGCAGAGCAACCAGAAAATATTGAAAAGAAAGAAAAAGTTTCGGAATCATCAGAAAAGCCACAAAAAATGATTCCTATTGACGTTAAACCAGAAGATACTTCTGATTCTAGCTCATATTCATCTTCTGGAGTGATTGAAACTTCAGATAATATTCCAATTCCGATTTCTGTTCAAGAAAATGAAAAAGAACAACAAAATGAAGAAGAATATTCAAAAGAAGAAGACTCTCCAGTCCCTGCTCAAACAGAAAACTTTAATGAATTGATCAAAGAAATTGATTCTCAAATCAATGAAAATATTAAAGATATCTGTAATAACTCGGTTAAAATTGATGTTGAAGGCGTTTTATCATTCCTTGATGATAAATTAAATCAAATTGCAATTACTCAGAGCGAAAAAGCAGAACAAGAAGCACAACAGATTAAGCCTCAAAGTGGTGCTTCCCCTGCCAGTGATATCGAATCTTTCTTCAACATTTCTTTCAGTGGTTTAATTTCTAGCGTAATAGCAGCATCAACTACATTAGCTTTCAATGTAATTGATACTACACGCGTAAGGAAGACAAAAATCCACAAAAAGAATAAGAAAGAAGACATTACATTCGATGAAGAAGCTTCAAACCTAGTAGACGATGCATTTCAGTTTGCAGTTCATAATGCTTTCACACTATCTATGCCTGACTTGTAATATAAAATATTGTTTGATTATTTTCAACTTGATATTTTTTTTTCATTCTCATTTTTTGTTTTCAAAATTTAATTTTTCATTTAAAATCATGATTCCAAATTATATCCAAATCTGAGACAACAAATATTGACCGCAAAAGTCGTATTATTTTTTCCGATTAATATCAATGCTTTCTGTTTTCTTCTTCAAGCACAGAATTGTTGCATGCTAAGTAGTGTCAACGATAGAAATTGAGATCCTATTAATCGTCGAGGAAGTACGATTATTTTTTGGGCGAAAAAGTATCTTAAAATATGATTATTAATATGTTTTTAAAATAAAAAATTTGAAAGTTAATTTGAGATTCTCATATAATTTTTTGAATGAAAAAATAAATATAGTCTATATGAGTTTTTGAATAATCACACTTGAGATATATCTAAAAAATAATTAAAAATAGAGTTTGAGAAGACTTTTCAAGGTGTAATGAAAAGTGTGATATAGAAAATAATTATAGATATTTTAATTTTATATATTGTGCTAAGCATTATATTAAATTTTTAGGAAAAACACTTTTCATAAGTATTCAATATTTGAAAATACGCTCCAAAAAAGAATAGATTCTTTTATATTCGCTTATATAAAAGGAGACTCTCTATCAGATGCGAATGCCTGAATTCAGCACCTCTGATAGAGAGTTTCCTCTTATATAAGCAAATCTTTTTCATGAGTTATTGTTAATATAAAAACATAAAAAGCTACCAATATGAGAAATTAAACCCTGCGAGGCACCAGTCTAGAACTGGCACTTCGCAGGGTTGAATTTCTCTTGACAAAATACAATAATCAAATGCTCCAAAGTTTTCAAATTTTTATTAGGAATAGGAGCCTACAAAGCACTGATTATATATCAGTGCCTGGTAGGCTCCTATTCCTTCTCTAAATGGGAGAAACTTTGTTTGAATAAGATAACATGCGAACAAAGTTTCTCCCATTTAGAGTGGGATTTGGAGGGTGGGAGGTACATAGATAGACTATGTATCTCTCACCCTCCAATTCCCTCGGGAAAGTTCGAAAACTTTGGTGCAATCAGCAACGATTGCACCAAAGTTTTTGCGTTTAATTGAAGGAATTGCTCTTTATGATATATACAGTTACAATGCATATATCATAAGGAGCAATTCCTTCCAGATATCTGGCAAACTTGCTCGCAATGGTTCACAATTGCGAACAAGTTTTGTCATTTGTCAAGAGAAATTAAACCCTGCGAAGTGCCAGTTCTAGACTGGTGCCTCGCAGGGTTTAATTTCTCATATTGGTAGCTTTTTATGTTTTTATATTAACAATAACTCATGAAAAAGATCCGCTTATATAAGAGGAAACTCTCTATCAGAGGTGCTGAATTCATGCATTCGCATCTGATAGAGAGTTTCATTTTATATAAGCAAATATAAGAGAATCTATTTTTTTTGGACCGTATTCTCAAATATTGAATACTTATGAAAAGTGTTTTTTTCTAAAAATATCAGAATATATTTACAATAGTAAAATAAATAAGATATTTAAATTTATTTTTAAATGCTTTTTTTTATATGAGATTCTCAAAAGTTATATCAAAAGTCTGTTTTTTCTAAAATCTAATATCATAATCTATTTCTCATTTTAAGTACATCTTAATTCATTTTATTTTCTATATTTTTTCAATATTTTTGACGGAATTGTGTTGCTTCCCCGACGATAAAATTGAGAGGTTTACACATTGACACTACTTAGCATGCAACAATCTCAACAAATCAAGAGTAACGATGTTCAAATTTGTGAAATTGATTCAGTTCCAATTTAATTTTAAGGATCTGCGTTGCGGGCAACGAAGAAATATGATTGATATCTATATGCAATTTATATTCTGCGTTGTTGCAATTTAAAATCATGATTCTCAATGGTTTTGGATGAAAGAAATCATCGTTTTTTTCAGTTTCTATCGGGGTAATATAAAGTGTCACATAAAATTTGATTTTATTACATATTTATATACTGATCTATACACGACACATTATCCAACAATTTTTTTCAATGAGTAATGGGGATTTTTTAAAATTAAGTTAATTATGATCTACATACATATCTGCACATAGGTGAAATGATATCACTTAGAATTGAGAAAACGCTATACGATACTCACTGAAATTTTGAATTAATAGAAATTTTCTGAAACCATTGGCCACCGATGGCAAGAATTTCCTTTTCCAAGCTTTAGTTCATTTTAGATTAAAGATGCTCGCATCTTCAGTCGCTGCTCCAGTCCGCAACATCTGCAGGGCTAAGCTCCCAGTTCTCAAGACAGGAATGACCCTCCTTCAGGATGGTGATCTTTCCAAGGGCTCTGCTTTCACAAAGGAAGAACGTGATCGCCTTAACCTTCGCGGTCTCCTCCCATACAAGGTCTTCACAAAGGATGAACAAGCTGCTCGTATCCGCCGCCAGTTCGAGTTGATGCCAACACCACTCCTCAAGTACATCTTCCTCGCTAACGAGCGTGAGAAAAACTCACAGTCCTTCTGGAGATTCCTCTTCACACACCCACCAACAGAGACAATGCCAGTTCTCTACACACCAACTGTCGGTGAAGCTTGCCAGAAGTGGGCTACACACCGCCAGTCATACCGTGGCATCTACATCACACCAGAAGACTCTGGCAAGATCAAGGACATCCTCCGCAACTACCCACGCCAGGACATCCGCTGCATCGTCGTTACAGATGGTGGCCGTATCCTCGGTCTCGGTGATCTCGGTGCTTCCGGCCTTGGTATCCCAGTCGGCAAGCTTATGCTCTACACACTCATCGGTCAGGTCCATCCAGATCAGACACTCCCAGTCCAGTTAGATATGGGTACAGACCGCAAGGAAATCCTCGCCGACCCACTCTACCACGGCTGGCGCCATCCAAGAATACGTGGCCCAGAACACACAAAGTTCGTTGCCGAGTTCGTTGATGCTGTCAAGGAAGTCTTTGGCGAGACATGCCTTGTCCAGTTCGAAGATTTCGAAATGGAAACTGCTTTCAAGCTTCTTGATCACTTCCGCTGGCGCTGCAACTGCTTCAACGATGATATCGAAGGCACAGCTGCCGTCGCTGCTGCTACACTCGCTTCCGCTACACACATGGAAGGCGTTCCAGATCTCAAGAACCAGAAGATCATCTTCATCGGCGCTGGCTCTGCTGCTACAGGCATTGCTAACCTCATCGTCGATATGGCTGTTTCCCGCGGTGGCATCTCACGCAAGGATGCTGAGAGAAACATCATCATGTTCGATCACAAGGGTATGGTCCATGCTGGCCGTAAGGATCTCTACGACTTCAACAAGCCATACATGCACAACATGGAAGTCTACGGCTCCGTCCTTGAGGGTGTCAAGAAGTTCAAGGCTACATGCGTCATCGGCGTTTCTGGTGTTCCAGGACTCATCACAAAGGAAATCGTCCAGGCTACATGCGCTAACTGCGAGCGCCCAGTCATCATGCCACTTTCCAACCCAACAGTCAAGGCTGAAGCTAAGCCACACGATGTCTACCAGTGGTCCAATGGCAAGGCCCTCTGCGCTACAGGCTCTCCATTCCCAGTTGAGACAGTCAACGGAAAGAAGACAATCACAGCTCAGGCTAACAACTCCTGGATCTTCCCAGCTGTCGGCTACGCCCTCGTTACAACACGCGCTCGCCACTGCCCAGGCAAGGTCTTCGAAGTTGCTGCTGAATCCCTTGCTTCCCTTGTTAAGAAGGAAGACCACGATATGGGCAACCTTCTCCCACCACTCAACAAGATCCGTGAGTACTCATTCGGCATCGCCCTCGATGTTGCTAAGTACCTCATCAAGAACGAGCTCGCCACAGCTCTCCCACCAAAGGGCACAGAGCTCAAGGACTGGCTCAAGGCTCAGCTCTTCGATCCACAGGCTGAATACGAGCAACTCTACTAAGCAGTTTTTAAAACTCTTTCAATTGTCTTTGAAATTCCTGATTTTTTTTAAAGTATTCTCATTATCGTGTGGAAAGTTACAAAATCATCCCAGGCATTGAATGAATGATATGAATTTGAGAAAAATATATATTAAAGATAATAAACTGTAGATTTTTAAATCACATAATGTTAGATATCATATTTGATTCTTCCAAATATTAAATTTCTAAGCGATCGAGGGTAATTTTTTGGTAGGCATCATGAAGTAAACCTTTAATAATAACGCGGACCACCATGAAACCCGCGTTCGAGAAAATCGTTCAAATTGTTAATTGCCTTGTCGAAAAAGTTATTAAATCCATTTTGAGGGGCCCTCCTGTTATTATTATTCTTCAAATTTTGAGCAGCTTCCCTAATTCTTCTGGCATTATTTTCTTGTTCTTCCATTGCGCCGATAACTCTGTCCAAAAATTCATTATTATTATAATTTTGTTGCCACTTTGGTCCTGGCTTGGAACAAATTTGAATACTATGGCAAAATTCTTGATTTGTTTTCTGCATTGCTCCATTTGGCTCGAAATATTCAAGTTGTTTGTTCAACGAGTCCATGCAGGCTGAATGATATGATGGATCAAAGAGTTTACATATTTCGGTTGTCTCTTCAATAATTTCACCTTCTGTTAGATTACGATTTACGATATCTTTTAGGTATCCTGTTGTCATCATACACATTTGACAAGCTCTGTAACCAGTACTTGATGAAAGCACCGCCAAATAGGAGAGAAACATTGTTTCTTTATGATTTTTAAAATTCTTACACTTTTCTATTCAATTTTGAATAATTTTGATTTGTTTGCCATTGTGGTTGTTTGGTTCCATGAATGTTTCCAATCTTCTAAAAACACATCCCTCATTCAATTAAGTGCCACATAAATCACTAATTGGCTCTTAAACTATAAAATTTTTCCAAAAATGCAAATCATAAACATTTAAACTTTATAATTTTAGTTTTAATCATTAATTTTAATTGCTCTCATAATTGAGATGCTTTGTCGAACTAATGATCTGATTACTATATGTTTTTACCGATTTATCAATACGATTTTTCGTTTTGGATAATATTCAAGGATCCATGCTAAGAAATTTTGTATTCCATACAAAGGAGCGTCGATACTTTATAAATTAATCAGCTGAAAGATCAATAAACATCGTTTTCACATTCAATCTCAAGATTTGAATTATGGATTTGTGATTCATGTTAAGACCAGACATACATATTATGAGACGGTAAATGATATATTGAGTTGAGTTAATGTATCTTATTTAATTTGTTATTAGCGTTACGCAAAGCTCGGGCTAGGATCACATCCCTCTAATACAAAATCTTTCTATTGATAGTTAGCATGAATCTTGAATATTTCTTGCTAATAACAAATTTCACATCTTCAAACTCAAAGAATTGTATTTTAGAGATATTACTATGAGAGAACGAAAAAACGTATCTTTTTCTAGGGCAAATTCTCAAAAAAAGGTCCATTTTTTGTGGAAAATTTTCAGAAAAATTTCAAAAATTTCCATCAATTTTTGAGAACTTTATTTTGGTCGGACATTTATAGAAAGAAAAATTTTTACGCTATAAATTTTCTACCATTATTTCGTTAATGAGCCAACCCAAGTTTATCGAGTTACTTTCAGAGACAGATAAAAAGGAATACAACAATCTCAGATCAACGTTATCATCAAATGCTGTTAGAAATCGACGTGGAAAAAGATTAGAAGCATTTTCTGAAGTTTTGACCGCAATCAAGAATTTTTGCATCAAGGGTGATAGTGATGATTGGAAGAGGTGCCTTGTTTGCGGCGTTTGCTGGCTTCCTGAAGGAATTGCAATAAATAACAGACAATTTCAAGTTTTAATCGACAAATGCAAATCATCCATTAATGGATCTTTACAAAAAATGGGATATGGCACAATTCAATCCCGCCAAGAATCAATTAAACTTCTTAGCGAACATATTCCATTTTTAGCTACGAATTATCAAGAAGCGCGTGAATGGAGTGTTAGACAGTTCATTTCTGTAACTCCTGAGCCATCAGTTCAAACAAAACAGTACAAATTAATTCCTCATGCTTTTACTCCAACACCACAGCCTGCTGTCAAAGCTAATGATCAATTTTATGATCCATATGATGAATATCTTACGAATACACACCACAATCAAGAAGAAACTAAGTTTGATTACTCAGCTGACTTCAACGATTTCCAAATCGATACAAGCTATAATCCATTTAACGAATACGATTCATATTCACTCGAGCAAACATTTACAGGAGCAACAAATTCAACTGCTTGAGAAAAATAAAATAATATTATTTTGTTTTTTTTTGTTTTGTATATATAAAATATTATGTATGTAAATATTTTTAATTTTTAGAGGTAATTTTACATCAAAATAAAAACATATAAGAAAGATTTACTTATTTGAGATGCAAAGTAGCTACATTAAGCGATACTCTTGCATTTATAAACATCTGGATAGATAAATTCACAAACAGAAGATTCACATTGATAATTAGTATCAATTGGAGTTCTTCCCATGAATTTCTTTAATATATATTGCGAAGTAACGTGAACTCTAACAGATGCAAGTAGTATTCCATCAACATCGTTGATTCCGCAATAGTAAACTTCACTAATATTAGAATAAACAATACCTTCTTGATGAACATACTTTAAATTCATAGGAAGATGCAAAGTAGTTAATAGGGGACAATCAGTAATTGACTTTGGATTGATATTTTCAATTGTATCTGGTAGATATAATTCAGTTAAAAGAGGACAGCTAGTAAAAGAGCTTGAAGATAATACTTTAAATTGTCCACATCTGAGATCAATTCTCTTAATATTTGGACATCTTCTGAACAATGCAGATCCTATATTTTTAATTTTGACCTTTAAAGTGAAATTTTCAAAGTCTGCTCCGCTAAATGCCTTTACACTGCTAATGGATCTTACAGTTGGCAACAATTCCGATGAACAATTGGATGGATAAAAATGCATAACAGAAAAATCTTGATTATAAACAACGCCTTCAAATACAACGAAAGATGGGCTTTCAGAGCTAATATATTTTAATCGGTAGCAGTCAATGAATGAAGATGCCTCGATTGAAACGATATTTTTTGTAATTTTAAGATTCTCTAAATATGCACACCTCTTACAGAACCAACCAGGTATTTCAGTCAAAGTTTCTGGAAATGTGATATTCATTAATAAGGAATCTGCGAATTGGACACTTCCTCCAAATTTTTGAATTTTTGTCGTGGAAAAATCCACAAATTTAATAAAAGCTGTACTAAATGCATAACTTCCTAGCTTTGTCAAAGATGTAGGAGCTGTGAAGTTCTCAATCTTACAATTTTGAAAACAATAATCATTAATAGTTGTAATAGTATCTGGAAGTACGATAGATGTGATATTACATCCATCAAATGCATATTTCCCAAGAATAGTAACTGTTTTGGAATCAATTTTTTCGGGGATAGTAATTGATCCTGTGATTTCCTGAGAAATACAGCTAGCTTCACCATTTCCGATCTGAATATTACTTGAACTAATGACAATATATTCAAAACTAGTCACTGAATCAGAAAAACATTAAAAAAAATGACAAATCAGGCAAAAATTAACATCACCACAAAAGAAAACTAATTCAAAAGGCATACGAAAACATTACTGACATCTCTTTTTGCCCCTTAAATTTTTACATTTGCAACTTTCGATAGGGTAAAAAACCCTAAAATCCCAAATAGACAAAAACTGTTTATAAAGCTAGAATTTAATGATTAGAATACGAAGTGACCTATAGATTTATTATACCATTCTAAAATTTGCATTTACACATGAATGGTGCTTTTTTCTCGAAGAAATCTGTCATCATGAAATCTTATCAAACATTTATGACTACTTCTTTAGAAAGTTTGCAAAATCGATTTTGCTGACAGAACATCAAGCTCTTTGGTTTGTAAAATTCTTATTTGAACATGTTTTACAGTCCTATTGAATAAATATAACTTTCAAACATCTCTGATGCAAATTGATTTTACTCTGGGTGTTCAGCACGAAATAATCTTAAGATTTCAATAATTTACAGGCATCGAATCAGATTACTTATACAACTATTGAATTTGTTGCTTTAATGCTTATGAATTTTGATTGAAACAACAATTTCTCATAACACAAGGATTTTTATGATTGTAATTTTAATATCTTTCTTAAATATTTTATAGGATATCTTACAAATGTCCTTAATATGACCAAAATGATAAATCATTAAAGCATTATTCAGCCATTTATTTTTTATCAGATAAAATAAATACTGGAATATAAACTAACCAAAACATTGATTGAATGATTCGAAATTATCACATAGCTTCAAAATAGAAATCTCATCTCTTGGAAGAACGAAAAATAACATCTGTTTTCCAGAGGAAACAATATTTCTATAGTAAAACATAATATTGGATGTGAATTGCGAGATTTAATCAAACTGTCAAACTACCAACAACTCCCAAAAACTGAAAAGAAACGATATGATCTTATCAGACAATGCCAAGATCGAAAATATCTTCATATTACTATAATCTCAGTATTAATCTACTGAAATTATCTGATTTATTTCAAAACGGTTTGATTTCTCAGAAATTCATAATTCTCACAATTAATTTTAAATTACGGTCATTCATCATTTTTCATTAAATTCAATTTGTAATATACGAATGTATTCCGATAATTCGAATCACCATCACTCAATTTACGATTAACTTAGAAATGAAATTTTTGATATTTTAATATACATAGATTTTCTGAATCATTTTTCCCTTTTTTTTATCAACCATCATATCTCAAAAATTTGATCGAGAAAAAATTGAATATAATATTTTTATCAGCTTTTAAATGTTGCGCAAATTGCTGATACATCAAGCGCAAGATCGTTTTTATGAATACTTTGGGACCCAATATCCAAGAAAACCAACAAAATGCAGGAATTGTACTGTACAAACAACCTTTAGCGATTTTTATTTATTAAATTGCATGTTTTACGATTTAAAAAGTCGCGCAATCTACATGTATTACAAAGAGAATGTCAAATTTTTATTGGAATCATGCAAATTTTTCAATTGCAGTGTAGATTCGAATAGCGGCGGTGCATTTTACTTTTATTGTCCTCATAGCTCAATAGTACATTATCGATCATGCGCAGAAAAATGTATTTGTGGTAGAGAAGCTTTGAATTTTGGCCATTTTTCATACCAATATTTAACAGATAGTGAAAGTTCAAATTTAAATATTATAAATAGTTCAACTATATTTGACTGTGGGAAAGCATTCATGGGATGCACAAATATTTATTTGTATTATGGTAAAATTTTATATTCAAAAAATAATTTAAGTAATTGTAATTCTCTTCAAGATAATGGTGTGAAATACTTTGGATCAAGCAATTATGATGGAATAGTTGAATATTCTAACTTTGATTCAAACACAGCAAATGATTTATGGACATGTGTAGATTTTTGGAAAAGATTTCAAGTTATATCTTGTAATGTGATCAAAAATAGGCAGGAATATAGTGGAATTGGGATATTGTATCATAAACATGAGAACTTAATTTTCACCTCATGTGTTATTACTGGAAATGTTTATCCATCTGGTGCATATTTGTTTTATTATTATCACGTTGAACCCGGAATTGTTTTATTGCAAAACTGCTTTGTTTCAGGATTTTATGCTAATGATCAAAATGTCAAAACCTCAAATCCGAATAATGGACTCAAAAATGATTTGAAATTTGAGCAAATGAATTGCACACCAGACGATATTAAGATTCAATCCATTCCAAAACGAAAAAAGAAATCTAATATCTTAAAATCTAGCTTAGCATCAGGTTTCTTCTGATTAATCAATATCAAATAACAAAATAATGTTTAAAAATGGTAACATGTAAGTAATGCTATAGATTGATGCAACAAAAAGAGGAGTAGAAGTTTTGGCTCCATTATAAACCGAACTTCAACTATTTTAACGATTTTTTGCTGTATTGCAAAATGTAGTGCAGTAATTTCATCTAAATTTTTTGGCATTGATATATGCACCTTTATGAAATCTTGTTAAATAAATTATGCGTTTATTAGTAGGATGAGTTTTATATAAAAAGCACTTCAAGGTGATTTGAGCATTCCAAATATTTGAGATATCTATGTGAATGTTGTGAGAACGCATATATTATCAATTTTCTATTCTGTCAATATTACACTCAATATGTCGGTATTGCGACCAAAAGTTGAAAAATTAAGATATATTTTAGCAATTTCTATGATGAAATTGTAAAATGGAACTAAATATTCATGTAATTTCGCTTTTAATTTATTAATACATTATAAAGATCTATATAAACCTTAAATTTCACAATCAATCCATTGGATTCAAAATTATGAAAAGGTGACAATGCGAAGATATCAAAATCGGATTTTTCCATTATTCGGAGTCTGGTTTTTGTTCATTCTTCTATTTATAGATCCATTTCAGATCGAGTACAAGCAAGACATATTAGTAAATGTTAATCTTAGAAACAAGCCATTCAGAGTTTTTGATTGCGTCTTATACAATAGCGAGAGCCATATGCTCTATACAAGAATATGGAGATTACTTCCATACGTAGATGAATTTATTGTCGTTTATTCAGAAAAAACTCACTCAGGGCAGAAAAATAACATATCTTTTTATCCATTCGAAAATGAAATCAAAGCTTTACAGCCAATAGTACATGTTTATAAGGCAAAAATAGACTGCAAAGAATGGCAAGTTAAAAATGACTACAATTGGTGTCGAGAAAACCATCAAAGGATGAAATTATGGCATCATTTGCAAAAATTTTATCCAAAAGATGGAGATTTAGTTTTGATTTCTGATGTTGACGAGATACCAACAAGGAAAGGAATGGAATACATGCTAGAACACCCTCCTATTTATTACTATACCATTCATGCTGTTTATAATACAATAAATTTCATGTACAAGACACCAGAGAAATGGCATAAATCGACGCTACTACGATACAATTCCCAAGTAAAAGCAAAAGACTTCCAAACTTTTCGAGATGAAGTTGTTATCAATCTTACAGAGCCTGTTGCAACACATTGCACGTGTTGCTTCAACGATCTTGATAACTACACTAGAAAATACAAGTCATTTTCCCATCAAGAATTAAATAGACACCCATTTATTAACGAAAGTTACGTTTTTCGAAGCCATTACTGCAGAAAGTCATATCCTTTCGATATTAAACTCACACGTGATATGAAAAACTTTTACGATGAAGATCTGATTCCTGATGATCCTCGTCTCGAATTTCTGATAAATCCAAAGTTTAAATTAGATATCAGCCGGACAATATACAAAGAAGAAGACTTGAAAGACCTGTGTAATGAAGAAAACGATTGGTGGGAAGAAAAATTCGTCCGTTTGAAACCAAAATATCAATTACAATAATATTAAAAAATTTTTGTTTGTATTTATGTATTAAATATGAATTATTTTTTATGAGATTGAGATACATGAACATTAAATTCCATTTCAATCGTTAATGCAAAATATAATTTACCAACAATCCAATTTCGCACTTGAAAATACTCAACTAAGCTTATGCCCAATGAGATGAATCTTGAAATATGATAAACAAACCTATCGTTGGTAAAACATTATGGAAAAATATTTTGATTACAATAAAAAAAGACTTTATTATAAAGAAATGAGTGATAACAATATTTATATAAGATTAGACTGAGTTAGGATCTTGTTCAGTTGATTCACGCTCAAATAACATTAAATACCCATCATCATCTCCATAGTATTTAGGAATTCTTTCATGTATCTTGAACATGTTCTTAGTGTATATCTTTTGCGCATTTTCGTTGCTGACTTTCACATGAAGGGTAACTTTTCGACATTCGTTGAGCTTATCCATTCCAAATTTGAACAATTTACTACCATATCCTTTGGATCGATAGTCTGACAAGATTCCAAAGCTATAAACGTAACCGCATTTAATTCCGTTTTCCTCAGAGAAACGAATAGTCATTTCCCCTATAATAACCCCATCTAGTAAAGCGAGAAATCCTACAAATTCCTTTGCATTTGCAACTTTGATATAATATTGTAGGGAAAAAGTTCTTTGGAAGCACTTCAAGTCGAGGCGCATCAGCTGCTGATAATTTTGAAGATTTACTTGTTCGAATACTACATCGCAATTGCCCATGATTATTTATTGTTTATGAAAAATTACCATCTGATTTATTTTATTTCAAAAATTTGAATGGAATTTATAAATTCTGCCATTCAAATTTATTCATCGAAAGAACTGCATATCATTACTAATATTTTAATCCCACGTCTCTATCCTATATGGTATGAAGCTGGACTACTCAAAATTAACTATTTATGATTACAATTAGTGAATTCAATAGATTTCTATTTCTTAAAACTTCTCAAACTTCGAATGGAACAATTATCAGAGCTAGTAGGCTACAATTCAAATTATTAAGTAATAATGTAATGATGCCTAATAGATAAAGTTATCATACATTATAAAACTAGAATTTTGTTTAATTACACTGCAAGGATTTGTTTGATTAGTGCCACTAATATAAGATTTTTGAATCAGATAGCAAATAGCAAGGATTTGTTACATTCTTTGTAATCACTCAATATGCTATATGACATAGTTAATCAGCAATCATTTTCAATGCTATGTGGCACCACTAAGCTGCTTTTTAAAAGAATACTCTTGTGAAATCTTTTTATTTTTTTACCACAAATATTGTCACTTTTTGGGAATTATACTAACCTTTGAATATTATACTCAAATACGCATAGATATTGTATTTTCAAAATGCTGGAGAAAGTCAATTGTCACTTTTTTCATATTTCTAATCTGAAATGGATCTGGAGGTGAGATTTTATTTTAGAACATTAAACAAATAATAAAAACAAATGGAAAATAGGATCCCAAAAAAAATCGGATATGAAAGGTGACGAAATTAGAATGTCTCATAATCCATATAATCAGCCCTTAATATCTGATAATACATACGCAAATGGAAATCCTCAGCAACCATATCAGGGAGGACAGCAATATGCCGCTCCACAACAATATCCTCCACCACCAGGATATCAGCAACCCCCACCACAAGCCTCTGGTCAAGGATATTCCTATGATCCATACCACATTCAGTACAATCCAAATGTTACAGTTCAGGATTGGAAGAACGTTCCAAATGATCAATCTCAATACTCCTACTACTGGTCTCAGCCAGATAGTTTCCAGCCAGAAACATTTGCTAGAAACACTCAGCCAGAGAAATCAAAGAAGCAATGGAACGATCTTTTCTGGAATATCTTCTTCTGGGTCAACTTCGTAGCCACAATTGCCTTGGCTGCATTCATTGGCTATTCCGTTTACAAGAATGTCAATGACAAATCAAGAAATTCTGCAGAAGACAAAGAAGAAATGACAAAACAAACTTTCATGAGAGATTTCGGAATTGGTGTCGGTGTTGGCGTTGCTCTTAACATTATTCACTTCGTTTACGCTTCATATGCTCCACTTATTTACATCAAACTCGGACTTTGGATCGGTGTCATCTTAGCTGTCATATTGGCTCTCATTCCATACTTCGCATTCAAGGTTTACTACTTCTTCATCTACCCAGCCTTCTTCTTAATCATCTCCATCGTTGTTTTCTGCATGATGTACAGATACATTCCATTCTCTGCCGCTGTTCTTCAGAAGACATGCTGGATTATCCGCCACTACCCATCCATCATCATGATTTGCATCTTCCAGTTCTTCCTTAACATCATCATCTGCTCAATCTTCTCTGTTCTTGTTGTTGGCATTGCCTACCTCAAGTGGAGCTACGCCATCTACGTTTACGTACTTTTCTCCTTCTACTGGACAATTACGACCCTCGGATACGTTATTTACATGACAGGAGCCGGCCTTGCTTCATCATGGTACTTCCTTTACGACACACCATACTTCCCAAGACATCCAACATGGGAATCCTTCAAGAGAGCAATGACAACATCTTTCGGATCTGCTTCTCTCGCTGGTTTCTTACTTGCTGTCGTTGAAACACTCAAGGCAATCATCGAACAGAGAACAGACGATATCTTTACAGCCATTTTCCAGTGCATCGCCCTTTGCATCCTTTCTTGCCTTGAATGCTTGATCAAATGGCTCAACAGGTACGCTCTTATCTACTGCGCTACATTCGGTGTTCCTTACGTCGAAGCTTGCAGACGTTGGGCTGAACTTTCCTGCAAGAAATTCGCTGATGTCATCTTATCCGGATGCTGCATCTCAAAGGCCGTCGGATTCAACATGTTCACATTCATCATTGGAGGTGGCCTCGTCGGTTTCGGACTTGGTTACATGTTCGACGCAAAAGGATACTATATTCACGCAATTGCCACTTGTGTCATCGCATTCTTCCTCACAGTTTGCGGATTCGGTGTTCTTGAGCAGCCACTCCTTACAATTTCTGATACAATCATCGTTTGCTTCGCTGAATGCCCAGAAAGACTTTCAACATCAGCTCACGACCTTTACGATGCAATGTGCGAGGCTTACGGAAGCAACTTGAGATACAATGCTGGAAAGTTGCAAAAGAAACAAAACAAAAAGAAATAAATTAATTTTTTAATTTTTTATTATCAAGTAAAAAAGGAAGTTTATTTTTATTTAAATCAAATAGTTTGTTCTTATTTTAATGATTTAAATTTCATTTCATTGAGAATTTGATAAAAATTTTATTATGATTTTTATCATTATGACAATACACTTAAATTAAGTTTGATAAGATGATGTTTTAATCCAAATGCATCAATTGTCATATATAAATTCTTAAAATTTATTTTAAAAATTCAAGTCAAAAGAGATAAATGTTATGATCTATTTGATTGAAAATAGATAAAATGATTATGTTGGTTCATATTAGATCAATCATCCAACTTTAGATTAATTTCCAAATCTTCAAAAAAGTGACATTTTTCAAAAATCAATACGATTATTTTCAAATCAAACTGATTGCATAATGACAATATCATTATTAAATTATATAATATTAATAATATATGTTATAAACATGTGTTTATTCTAATCTATTTTATTTTGAACAAATTCAATTTTTCAATTTTTAATGAAAATAAATTAAAATATGATTTTAAAATTCCAAATCCGCCGGGTCAAAGCTCAATGAGTTCAATTCATCGAAAATGAATTGAAATTCATATGACTCAGGAATTGTTAAATCAAGCACTTGATCTTCTTTTTTGGTATTGGCTGTAGATTTGTTCTTTCTCCTAGTTGAATATGCTTCCATGCAGAGATTATAAACATTTTCTCTGGATGCATTTCGCCTCATTAATTTTCGATACTGAGATTTTAGACTAACATCAGTTCTGTTGTGCATTAATGAAGCAATCTTTCTCCATTTCTTTCCCAATTCCTCAACTTTGACAAGAAGAAAATGATTTTCTTCCGGCGTAAAATCTTTTTTGTTGATTCTATTGTCAAGATAGTTAGTCCAGCGATCTTTGCATTGCCTTGGATTTCTCGAAATCATCTGCTGTGCTATATAATTCCAGTTTATATCCCTTTTTCGTGGAAAGAACTTCACAAGATCGCTGAGTTTACGATCTTCTTCTGGGGTGAATGGATTCTTTGAGCTTTTACTGGTCTTTTCAATAAATATGAACTCCATCTATATTAATTCTGAATTTTATCGGCAATTTTGATATAATAAAAATTGAATGATAGTAAAAACGAATGTATTTTATATGAAGATTATTTGTACTACAAAGGTTGATTGAAATGGTTAGATATGATCCAATTAGCTTTTCATTGAAATTTTTCTTGATTTGAATTAAATATGCCGATAATTCTCAGAATTGATTTTTGAATAGTTTTGAATAATATATTGATTCTTTTGATGGCTCTAATAATTATTCGCCATTTAGTTCAAGCAAATCCTTTTTACATTAAATTAGAATAATGCAGATAATACATGATATCAAGCCAATGCTGTTTTTTTAATCTTTCAGTCAAATTTCACAACAAAACGCAAAATTAAATGAATAACAAAAGATTGGCTACAAAATAGCTTGTATACTGGATTAGATCATTTATATCTTATATCCTTTTATGGAAAATTATTTTTTAGAAAAAAATAATCTCCGCCAAGATGATGTTAAATGAATTCCATATGCTAATATATACATTTAATTGATTCAAAATTGCTATATTTTATAATTCAATCATAACGTTTTATAATAAAAAAATGATAAAAATACAAAAATTGAACCATAGAGCATTAAATATAATTCACAACATGCAGTGTTAAATGATTAATTATGTTATATCCCCAAGAGTTCATCTAATCTATATCAATATCAAAAATCATTGTAATCTCAGCATTAATGGATCCTTTCAATAAACATGCATGAATGTAGTGAATACCCTTGCTATTAAGACAAAGCCGATATTTGAGATTATAAAAAATTTTTTATGAAATAAAGTCGTATTTGAATTTTATAAAGTTTGATATATTTACTTGTATAGATCAAATCCCTGCAAGAAATTGAGGTTAGTAAACTATTCAATTTTTGTGAGAAAAACTTTTTTGGACAGAAAAATAAAATGTTAATAATTGTTCTTATAGTCAAATCGATACTGTTGTAAACAGAAATTCATCAAAAGTGACACCTCAGAAAAGCTAAAATATTGAATTTTTGGAACTTTTGATAGAGCACGTTTTTAAATATTAATTAAAGTAAATGTATATTTTGTAAAGATTCTTTTTAATAAAAAAATAAAATTTTGAAGAAGAACACAAAATCTTCTGAAAAATAATATCACATAAACTCATATTATTTTCTAATATATAACTATTTTATATAAAAATCAAATTCAATGATCTTAAAAGCGAAGGATAAACCTCAAAATATTACGATAATGAGTGGAATATAATGCTTATCTATCATAAAACCATATGAAATATCAATTTTTGCTTTACGCCTATTCCCACTCATTATATTCGTAAATTTTGAGGTTTATCCTTCGCTTTTAAGATCATTGAATTTGATTTTTATATAAAATAGTTATATATTAGAAAATAATATGAGTTTATGTGATATTATTTTTCAGAAGATTTCATTCTATATGCCTATGAAAAGTACTCTCAAAACTAACTTTTCCTAATTATAATTAAATCTAGAATATTGTATTATGCTTAGTATTATTTCATTTTTCTCATTCAATTTAGAATTTACAAATGTCAAAAAATTGAGAGCTGTCACTTTTGATGAATTTCTGTTTATTACAATACATTTTAAAAATTATAACGATAGATATGACCATTGTGAAATTTATTCGAAAATAAGATATTCCCATTTGCTTGATGAATCTCCGTAATGTCTTAAATTTGAATATGAATTTTCAAATTATTTTTTTATGCAACAGTCTTGGGTTTTTGCTCTGTCCTTAGGAATACCATACATAATCATTGTAACGATATGGTCTATCATCCTAAAGCGGTATTTCAAATGGCGCCCGTTCCTCTTTTCGAGTTTTGTAATTTCTAATTATATTAAGCAGCCAAAAGGCACTTGCAAGTACATACTCTTCATCACTTTATGGTGGGCATTCTTCTCATTACCATTTATTATTCCAATCATATATGCAGGCATTTTACATTCTAAATTCCAAAATGTTATTTTGGATATATCAGTAGCCATTGTTCCTTTTGTTCTTACATCACTTCTTTTCCTATACAAAAACTTCAAGAATAACGGATTTAAAGTCGGATTTACATCAAAGTTAATGGTCCCACTCGTATTAGTTTTAATTATTGCATTAAACTCAGTAACATCATATTTATACAAAGAAGATCAATGGGAAGCATTCGGATACTTACTAATGTGCCCATCTCTTCTTGTTTACGCATTCGCTCTCGCGATATCAAGAGCCAGAATCAATTATGATACGGCAAACGACTTAATTACAAGCGAAGAAGCACGAAACGAGTTCTCAAAAGACATTACAGACAAGAAATTCAATAAATGGCTTGTCGGAAGCCACAAAATGAAGTGGTGGTGCCTTATTGTCTTCATTGTCTTATCAGCAGGCTTTAATGCAGCGTTTTACGGTATATTTAGAAATACAGAGACATTAATGACAGCAGCCGCTTCAGTTTGCATTGATTATTTAATTTTAATCAGACAATACTTTCTTAAAAACCAATTACAAACGATGAACTTACTCATTGGAGCATACATAGTCAAGACAATAGTGATTTCCATTGGTCCGAAGTATTGGTTGTTTAGTCACTCATTATATCTCAGTATTTTCGGTTGTTTTTGCTTAGTTAGGTTCCTTCATTGGTTGTTTATCATGTTATCATGCGGATGCAACAAAAAGAGAATAAGATCCGAAAAAATCAACGATGAAATCAAAGAAAGACTGGAGAAAGTCACTCCAGAAGGCAGAAGACCTTCATCATTAGAAGCATTAACAAGTATTATCTCATTTATTCTCACAGCAGGCCTTGCAGCCCTTGTTTTATTCAAATTTGCAGATAAATCTACCGAAAAAATCTTCGATAGAGAGCAGAAAGTAGTTTACGTAATGATGTTAGTGTTTGCTATTGCAGTATCTCTATGTCTTGCCTCTCTAATTTGTGCTTTTAACACTAGAGGTCGATTAAATTTTGTAATGTTGTTATCTTTCTTACTCGGATATGGTGCAACGATTGTATTCTTACTGTTTTACAAGGAGATCCACATGGAAGTCATAGAAGTTGTAGTAATTTTCTTAATAATCTTTTTAATAACTGACGGATTCATTGTTTTAATGCTGACCTTCGAAAATGGCTTCAACTTCAAGAAAGGAAGTCATGCCGTCATCAGACTTTACTTGTTTGGCTTCCTTTTAGTCGCAGACATGATAAGTTTAATTGTGTTGCCGATTGTTAAGCAAAAAAGTGTCATTGGTGTCACTTTTGTATTAGGTTTATTATCTGTTTATTCCTTCTTTGGATTTTCCCATTACTTTGTTACACCGACATACAAATGGGATGTGCAAATTAACTTTGTTTTGTTTGTTTTCTTTTACGGCGGTTTTTGTGGTAGTTTTGTCGGTTTGAAATTGACAAAAGTTTGCTACTATTTAATCGTCATTGGAGTAGTGTTTGTTGTATACGGATTTGTCTTTATTTGGACCTATAGAAACAAGTTTTATTTCACAAAAGGTCCTTTAATTTTGTCACTTTTATCTTCAGCCATTTTTACTGGCTTAAGTTTTGCCTTGTTTTTGAAGACAGAATATCAAATGCTTGGTGCAACTTTATCTGAATTATTCTTATTAGTTTTTTGTGCATCACTTTTCTTCTTCGCTATGACAACTAATTTATGGAGATTTAATTGGCTTTCTATTTTATCAATTGTTTTATTTATTGCTTTATCTATTATAGAGATTTATTTCATTGTTAAATACAACTCAGACTCTTATTTCGTTTATACTATTATATCTATTGTTCTTGGTTTGTTAACAATAAGTTTGACATTGATGTATACTTTGATTAACACAGAAACACAAGTTTTAGTTTTTACAAACTTTTTCTTCCCTTGCAGAAGATATACTGATGGTTCTCTTTACAAAACTAGATCGTTTACTATTAGTTTATCTACTTTCGTTTTCGTTGTATGGTTCTGGGGATTGATGGGTTTAGTTCACAACAAAAATAATTTGTTCGCTTTGGTTTGTATGAATGGCGGTTTTTATTTGTCAATTTTCTTTTCAATTTATTTGTTATTGGATCTCGACAAAAAGTGCTTTTTCGCGTTGAACTATATCTCTAAAAGCACTATTCTGCATGCATTGGCTAAGGCAATGAGAGCGGCTGGTGTCGGATCTGACTTCACTTCTGAAAAGTGTCAAAATAGGACAGATTTGAATGAATTGATAAAAAGTGAGAAAATTAATAGACATATCAATTCATGCTTAAGCCATTTCATCTCTGCTTTGAAAGCGCAGATTTACATTTCTTCAGAAATGGCTTTCGATATTTGCAAACAAAAACTTTTCAATATTTTGAAACGTGACAAAAATAATGATGTCACTTTTCTTGCAACGAAAGATTTCAGTCCAGAGCACAGAAACATCATTTGTGAGATATATCTTAAGCTTTCAGGAAGATCATCTGTTACTCTCCCTGAAAATGAATATATTTTGAGTATAAATTCCACTGTAAACAAAGTTAATACGAAAACACAGTGGAAAAATGTTCAAAAATATATAGAATTGAAAAGTGAGATAAAAGGAATGGTTGATAACCTGAAGAATAACACGAAATACGTTGATGATGACTTCCATCCTACGAAAAGAATTGAAGAAAGCATTAAATTACTTGATAATTGTCAATGGGAAAGAGCTGAAAAAAAATTTAAAGGAAGAGAATTTGAAAAAACGTGCCAGCCAAATGAAATTGTTCAAGGATATTTCGGAGATTGTTATTTAGTTACTAGTTTGTCAAGTATTTGCCAAAACTCAAGAATTATTAAGAATTTGTTTTATAAATCTGAATTGGCGGTAAGTAATGGAGTTTCTTGTGTTTCTTTCAATGCAATGGATACGAATCTTTATGTATTAGTTGATACTATGATTCCTGTTTCTAAAGAAGGAAAACCAAAAATGGTTTCTCCTTTGAATGAAAATTCTCCTTGGTGGTTTTGCATGGTTGAAAAAACTTTCTGTAAATTAGTTGGCTCTTTATCAGAGAGTGAAGGTGGAGCTCCATCAAATGCTTTGTATAGATTAGTTGGTGGCTATCCGATGGTTATAGAATTGAACACTTTAGATGTAAGAGAAAAATTTAAATCTGGAGCTTTGTTCGACCAAATAAATGAAATTTTCATGAATGGAGGTTATTTGGTTTCCGGAAGTATGGAAGGAAATAATTCAAGTGTAAAACATGGAATCGTTCAAGGGCATGCTTATAATATTTTAGATGTTGTTGATTATAGAGGCATCAAATTATTGAAATTGAGAAATCCATGGGGAAAGACAGAATGGAATGGAGATTGGTCTGATGACAGTGATTTATGGGATAGATATCCAGCAGTAAAGAATAGATGCAAATTCGAAAAAGCTGATGATGGAATGTTCTGGATTTCATTTAATGATTTCGTTGATAATTATTCTAGTGTTTATTGCTTGATTCCTCCAAATTCCCTGCCTAGATACAGATGTATCATCAAAAACAAACTGAAACCAGGAAATTTGGATGGTTCTAAACCAGTAACAAATACTCCTCCTGCAGACAATTTGTGCCAATACATAATGAGAGTCCATAAATCATCTAAATTCATGATTTGTTTGGAAAGAACTGGACCTGGAATTGGAACATGGGTCTACGCAATGAAAACTAATACTCCTGTGAAGAAGATTTCTTCTGGATCGAAATACAGGAATGAAGCTGTTCCATTGAATGTTGCTGTCCATTCATTTGAGTGGACATTGGAACAAGGAGACTGGGTTTTCTTCGTGTGCAGAAATAAGATTGATGAACCTTCTGATTACGTCTTGAGTTTGTACTCGAATTCAAGCTTTGAAGTGACTTCTTTGATCAACGGAGAAGGTGCTTCAATCAAAATGAAGACTGAAAAGACAAATTGATATTGATATTTCCTAATGTTGTTTATTTGTTTTTTATATAAATTTTTCCATATTATTTTGTTTTATAAATTGATATATTTTCATTATCCAATGGATATCAATTGTGAATTTCTCTTGATAATATTTTACCTGCAATATGAGATCGGTAGCTTTATATTATGATTACATTTGATTCATACAATAAAGAGTTAAACTTTAAGAGATGAATCATATCTATTTAATAATGAAAAAAAGAATTGTTTCCTTGATGAAGCACTGATTTGAAAACATTCTTCTAAAGAATATCACCTTACAAACTTGATGCGGAAAATAGAAAATATTACTATAGATTGATTATACATATGAGTGAAATGGATTTATATGTATATTATTCGGGACTTAAATATTTCGAAAATAGAAGATAAAATGCATTTTTAATATCAAGATTTCTTAAACAGCATTACTAATGGCAATAAATTAAAATCCCTAAAATTGACTGTTCTATCTTGGTTATCAACAAATTTACAGATATATATGAAGCAATTGTTATTGATCGTGGTAACATTTGGGTTCTCACCTGTAAAAAATTCAGGAGTGGCAATATTTTCATAATAATGAGACCAAATGCGAGAAGCATCGTATCCTCCATGGAAATATTGTTCATATTTGAATGGATTAAATAAGCAATGAATACAATGATCTGTTACCGCAATAAGAAAATAAATTGTGAGAAAAATCTACGATTATTTTTAATTCAAACTGATATTCGATTTTGAACGCATTTTCCATTGAGATAAAAGCTTCAACATCTCAGCAAAATGTGATTTTTGACTAAACGATGTTTTTAAGTGCAGAAAACACTTAATAAATTAAATGACATTGATAATTCGATGATTGTCATATAAAATTTCACTTCACTTTGAATATAAAAAGGTGACATTATGTCGAAGAAAACTCCTAGTCCTAAGTCTAAAACGCAAAAATCAGGCCCTGAAATCAAAGAAAAAATAGTCACTATATCCCCGACGAAAGATTCGTCGGAAAAAAGAATCAAAAAAGCAACAAAATTTTTGCAAAATAATGAAAACTTTGTATTTCCTGCGTATAGAGCTGAAACTGGTTTCAGTGCTACATTTAGTATGCTTTCTACCTCAAATTCATCCATAAATGCAGATAAAACAAAATTTGATAATACGTTAGTTGAAGAAATCTCAGAGAAACGCAATAAAAAGAATAGAAGTTCGTCCATGTCGCCAAACAAAGTTCAACTTAGTCTAGAACTTACAAATCAACACACAATTATTTCTGAATCCTCTGAGGAAGAAGAAGGTATAGAAGCAGAAGAAAATGGATTAAAAATAGGTGGTGTTATATCTCTCATACAAAACTCAGAAAATAATACACAAGAATTTATTGGACTCGATTCAACACAAATCGAAAAGAATACCGCTAACAAAACAAATGAAGATAATTCAACAGTAAAGTCTTTTCCGAATTCACCAGAAAAAAGTCATGAATCCGCATTAATTTTTGTTCCCATAGAAACACCACAGAAAAAGCATAAAGTAATGACCAAAATCACTCTTCATCTTTCACCTAACTACTCCAAGGTGATTGCTGCAATAAGAAACTTATTTGAAGATACTTCTAGAAATGGAGAACACGTAGAGATTGGAAGAGCGATGACAAAAGAACCAAGACGTCATTTCTTAATATATTTGACATCTCCTACAGAATTATCTGGTGTTTATGTTGTTAAGAAAAATCAATTAAATTTAATTTACGGAAATGGGCCTTCGGAAATTCAATTTGCAGATATCAAATCCTATTTTGTTCATAATGTAGAATCTAAGATCATGGAAAAGTGTATTGAAGTTCCTTATGTTCCTACTGATGCCTGTATAGCCTTTTTGATTTAATTATTAGTTCAATATATGTTTGTTATTGTTATAAAAATGTAATATCATATTAATTTTTAATTTATTTACTCGCATCAAAATTTGATTGAATTTATCCAAATAAAAGAACCAGACCATTCTAAATAGATTTGCATATCGCTTATTCTTATATAGACCAAAAGGAAATATAATGAGTCCATAAGAATTTTTTCGATCAAAATAAAACAATTCACATTCAAATTGATACAAAAATGGAGAGAAGAATCAGTGCAATAATTTCTGAAATGAATAGCCGAACATGAGAACTCAAATTAAAATTGAGCCTAGATTGAAAAAAGAAATCGAGTAAGACCTTATTTCAAAGAATATGTATCTAAATTTGAGTTATATTCTTAAGGAGGATGAGGTTTTTTCGGTTATCTGTTTATTTTTTGAGAGCTTGAATTGAAAATTCAAAGTTCATTAAACTTTATTTGTTTTCATTAGACTGAGAGTGATGCCATTGTTTAAATCTCAGTTTGCAATTCATTGGAATACCTCGAGATTACTAGCCATAAATATTTGCATAAATATCCTTCAGACAAAAATATAAAATTTAAAATGAAAAAGCAATTCAAAATTATCGCATATGTCCAAAGAAATGATCAAAAAAGTGTTCCATCCATCTATTTTTTATTATCTATTATACATTTGAGACAAATTATAAAATATTACAGCCCAGAGAGATTTCGATTAATACTTATAGCATAAAGAAATAATTTAATATCATATTGCTTTAAAATATCCCATAATATACATTATTCAAAAAAAATTTAAAAAATAATGCTTATGATTATTAATGAATGATAATTCGATTCATTGTATATGGATATTATTATGACTTAATTATTACTTGAGGATTTTTAAATATTGATTTAATATTTTAAAATCCTAGAAGAAAGTGAAAATGACAAAAACTCCGTTAAAAACTAAATATTTATTCAACAAGATAATACATAATAATCAAAACATCAATGATAATTGAGTAATTGTTTGACGTCTAAAAAATTAATATAGCAATCAGACATTGACTCATTCAAAATTTTCTTGCTTGAATTCCTTGTAAGAATTGGTAAAATCAAATCCCAGTTTTCTGTGAACCAGCAAAATAATGCTTGTCGATTTCTTCTCGCTAATCTATCCATTGTGATTCCCAGCTCTTGTTCCAACTTTGCAGCACGCGATAAAAGAGAAACTGCAGTAACATTATGTCCATAGAGTCCTTTTAAATAATCTGTTACATATTCAACTTTTCCAGCAAGGCCGTGTAATCGAGTCATAACTTGCTCATAATCTTTCATGCTTTGAGAAGTTGTTCTTTTGCTTTTGTTTTGGGGTGGGATTGTTTCTATGGATGTTGACATAAACACAATAATTTTTTAACAATTAATTTTGTATGCTTTACATAGTGTTATATTCGGATTTTCAAATATTTACATTTTATACTCTATTCAAATATTTTTGAGTTCTGTTTTGAGTTGTTCAAATAATGTTATGTATATTACTGTTTTGATTTAAAAATGCCGAATTATACGTTTTTGTTATATTTTTGACGTGCATTGAAAATCCTAAAAATTTGAATTATAATATTCTCGAATTTTTGATGTTGAACAATTCGATTATACTCACAACTGTTGTAAACAGAAATTCATCAAAAGTGACACCTCAGAAAAGCTAAAATATTGAATTTTTGGAATTTTTGATAGAGCACGTTTTTAAATATTAATTAAAGTAAATGTATATTTTGTAAATATTCTTTTTAATAAAAAAATAAAATTTTGAAGAAGAACACAAAATCTTCTGAAAAATAATATCACATAAACCCATATTATTTTCTAATATATAACTATTTTATATAAAAATCAAATTCAATGATCTTAAAAGCGAAGGATAAACGAGTAGGGGTAATTTTAGCTAAAAGTGACACGCCTGTAAAAATGACACACCCGTGAAAGGTGTGATTACCGATCGGTAATTTCGACAGTTTAGAATTTAAAATTTTTTATGGAACTGTTGCGAGTTTCATAAAGAATTTAAGGAATATATGTTGCATGCTAAGTTCAGTCAACGATAGGAATTGAGGGGAAATTAATCGTCGAGGAAGTACGATTATGTAAAGTAAAAAATGTTGTGGGATTTTTAATATTGTATATAATTTTATAATAAAATTTTTGTGAGACATTTTAAGAAGCACATATAATTTTTTGAATTTAAAAATTAAAGTAGTGTTGAATGAATTTATTGATTAATTTAATACGGATATTTCTCAAAATTAATCAAAAATAGGTTTTCAGAGAACTTTTGAGATATCTTTTCAAAATGTCTTTTTGAAAATATATAAGTATTATATCAAATTGAAAAAAGGTATTTATCAAAATTCTAAATTCTTAATAAAAAATAACTTTTCAGAGGATTGTGATTTTGAAAGCATGAGTAATAAGTAAAAAATATCTACGATTTTAATGAGGGAATTGTTCCTTATGAGGTATACATTATAACATATTACCTCATAAGGAACAATTCCCTCTTGATAGCTGGGAAACTTTCTCTGAATAACTTATCATTTGGAGAAAGTTTCCCAGTATTATTAGAAAACTAAAAGGCTGTGAGGCACTAATATATAATCAGTGCCTCATAGCCTTTAGTTTCTTATTAAAACGAGAAAACTTGTTCGAAATGATAAACAATTTCGAACAAGTTTTCTCGTTTTAAGGAGGGAATTGTTCCTTATGAGGTATACAGTATGAATATATTCATAAGAACAATTCCCTCTTGATAGCTGGGAAACTTTCTCTGAATAACTTATCATTTGGACAGGAAAAGTGACACTTTACATGGCAAAAAATAGAGCCTTACTTTTGAGATACTTGAGATTGAAACTGAATCTTATGAGGCGGTGATCTTGAATCACTACCTCATAAGGTTCAGTTTCATATAAAATTTGTTGCAATTTGTTATTCTTTTGCAATTATTTCTTATAAGATTTTACATCTTTTAGCGGGGAATGTTTGTTATTATGTATATATTATAAATATCTACACGATAACGAACATTCCTCGCTAAATTGCTGAGAAACTTTGAGGAAATGTCGAACAATTTCCTCAAAGTTTCTCAGATTTATATAGATCACTAGAGTCCCTAGGCACTGATTCTGGTTCAGTACCTAGGAGGCTCTAGTTCTCTAACGAACTGATAAAATGTTTTTAAATTTTTGGATATTGCTACCTGTGAAGCACTGACTTCAAGTCAGTACCTCACAGGTAGCAATTACATTGAAAGATGGAGAAACTTTGTCCGAATGTTAAACTATTCGGACAAAGTTTCTCACATTTGTAGTGGAGATGGAAGGCTTTGAGGTATATTGTATTAATATACCCCAAAGCCTTCCATCTCCACTTGAAAGTGTCCAAACTTTGGGTTAATCTTTGCAATTAACCCAAAGTTTGGACACTTTCTAGAAGGAATTGGAGGGTAAGAGATATACATTCATATGGTATATCTCTTACCCTCCAATTCCTTCTTAAAATGGGAGAAACTTTGTCCGAATGTTAAACTATTCGGACAAAGTTTCTCCCATTTTTTGAAGGAATTGGAGGCTATGAGATACTGATGCAATGTCAGTAACTCATGGCTTCCAATTCCTTCCTAAAACTCATAAAAGTGGACATTACATGCATATAAAATTTGACATGTAAAGTCCACTTTTTGTGAGCGGGGATTTGACTCCGTCAAATCCCTTTTTCGTTTACGAGAAAGCCAAATTCTCTCAAAAAGTTAAGTAGGACCAATTTTTTATAAAAAAAATCCAATTTCATTATGAATGTTAATTAATTTATATAATTATTGAATAAAAAATTTTCTTTGAGATTATGAAAAGTTCTTTGAAAAGTTATTTTTTCTCATTTTTAAATATTGTATTAGCCTATTTATTTATAATCCAAATTAAATAACTTTAAATTCAATATTTAAAGAATAATTTTGAAGGAATTGAGTTACTTCCCCCGACGATAAAATTGAGAGGTTTACATTTTGACCGAACTTAGCATGCAACATATAAGCAAAGATTTGAATCAAAATCTTAGACCTAAGCCGCTCGATTCGCTCGCGGCTTCCGCGAATTACAGATCAGCAAAGATTTGAATCAAAATCTTCGAACTAAGCCGATCGCTTCGCTCGCGGCTTTCTTTATTATTTTAAATTTGCATATTTCCATCAAAAGTTCATAAGGTAAAAAATTTTGTTTATTTTTACGAGTAGGTGCCAAAAGTGCTTACTCTTAAACAACCGTCGGATTTCCGGGTGAAATCGTGACACACTTTCGTCTTTCGTAGGCAGTGGTGGTTGTTACAAAAGGTAACTTCGAATGTAGCGTGAAATCTGCAAAAAAAATTCTGAAATTTGAATGGAGAACACAAAAATTGAATAGTTTACGTCAATAAAAAAGAGAAAAATGAAGCCAATGTGTCTCGAACCTAGGACTTAGAGCAGCAATCCCACTGTTTATCCCATTACATATTACACTACATGCATCTCTCACCTCAGTGAATGAGATCAACTATATGATAACTTTTTCCCCATTATATTCTTGTTGAAAAGTGACAAATAGCAACTTTGACCCTCTCTCTTATTTTTACTAAGAAAAAAAGGTTTTTGATAATAAATTTATTTTATTTCGAAAAAGTAGCAATAATCGTAAAAGGGTATTGATAGGCTTGCTAAAGTAACTAATTTTAGCTGTCAAATACTTTTGTATTTTGAGTTAGTATACAAGTCTCGTGTACTGAGGCACTGCGTTCCTCAGTACGCAATACTTGTGAATTTGACACTTTACAAAACCGTTAACGTATATTTTACAACACAAACGACAACACTAATTTAACCTTAAATATTTATAAAGCCGCCAACCACTTCACCTTACTACTGTAAAAATAAACGTTCTCACTTACAAAAGTATTGCAACTCTTCCCATTGCTGTGCTTCACACAATAGTTCATATTCTTCAGTATCGCTGCTGTCGCTCCAATCGTCAGAGTCAAAGTCACTGTCAAAATGAATGTTAGTAAGTTTTGACAAAGCTAATGAAACACGTTTACCGTTTGTATCGTATGCTTGTATAAACTTTCCATTCTTCATTCCTTCATAAACGCTCAAACTAACTTTACCCTTTCTCCCTCGTATCTGATAGAATGTATTTTCACGAGGAACGAAGAACAAATTCTTGAACTCATGACTGTTGTAGTTTGTTATCTCAATAGTTTTCGTCATTACATCCAAATAAAAATTTTCAGTAAAAATAAAACTAATGTTAAAATTTCTCATAACATAAACGTTCTCATTGCTTTATAACTCTCTTCCTTTCTCCAACTCTTCTAACTTCTTCTTAAGTTCAGCAATGTTGTCCTCATGAAGTTTAATCTTCCTTAATATACCTTCTTTATCTAATGGTTGCTTTATCTTTCTAAACTGAACTCTACCATCCTTCATAGTATGAATGTAAAAACCTTCTGGAATAGTTCCTGATTTAATGTATTCTACCAAAAACTTTTGTTTCATTGCTTCAGTGACTTTAGTCGTCATTTCAATCAAAGGTGAAGCTAGCACAACGATAATGGATTTCATGACTTTTTAGTATTTCATGCAATCTTAACAGATAGCCTTACAAGTACTTCCAGTGTCCCTAGCTGTCCCTCCTTTTTATATAACTCCATGACATTTATAATCTCGCGAAACTTAACAGGTAGCATAACAGATTAAAATCAGATGAGGTTTTGAACCAAAATTTCTAAGCAACGTTGTCAAGGATTTTGAGGAACTAGGGACAGAGTGTGGCAAAGTCCAAGATTTAATTTATCTTCATCTGTTTCATCAGCTATCTCATCTAATATGCCAATATTTTATTCATAACTCGTGGCAAACCCACTAACTTTCATTATGTTCATCTGCATGCTTCATCTGATAGAAAGTATGACTTTCATTATTTCCAGAACTTAATGAAAACTACTAGGGACAGAGACCATGGCAAAGTTTATGACTTTCATTATTTCCAGAACTTAATGAAAACTACTAGGGACAGAGACCATGGCAAAGTTCATGATTTAATTCATTCTCTCACTAACAACAAACACATACTCCAACACTAACATCAAGTACTAACTTCAGCACAAATGACAAACACTAACAACAAACACAAACTCCAACACTAACAACAAAAATAAATGTCCTCACTTCTTAACAAAGTAATATGTGCTTCTTACACCACCATAGCTCAAACGTTTCTTTTCAAACATCGATTGAAACTTAT